CCATGGGTTGTGCAGTGATCGCCATGTAAACCACAGCGCGGGCTACAGCGACTCGCATGGCGTGTCTGTATGGCGGCGTGGTGCTTCTGCTTCGCCATGACGGTGGTGGTGTTTTTCTTGACGCCACTCGTCTCTACAGCTGCCTCCCTATTTCCTGGTACAAACCTCACCGTCACGTGCGCTGCCTTTCGCGACGCTCATGTAAGTCACGTGTTCAGTTGTGTTCGCGGTGCTGCTGTGAGGAGACGAGATGGTGTCCAACAGCTCTGCTTCCACGTCTTTACTTTCCGTCGTGTGATAAAACTAAGTTCACATGTAGGGACGTTTCTGTCGGTGATAGATAGGTTACATGTCCGCCTTCATTAGTGTAACAATTGGGTATCCATTCATTTCAATCGCAGCATATATTCATTGAGGCATCAAACATTAGACGTTTTCAGGAGGGAGGAACACTGGGTGAGAGGTTTTCAGGAGTGAGGAACACTGGGTGAGAGGTTTTCAGGAGGGAGGAACACTGGGTGAGAGGTTTTCTGGAGGGATGAACATTGGGTGAGAGGTTTTCAAGAGTGAGGAACACTGGGTGAGAGGTTTTCAGGAGGGAGGAACACTGGGTGAGAGGTTTTCAGGAGGGAGGAACACTGGGTGAGAGGTAAAAGTCACCTGGTGTTGTCAGGAGGGAGAAGTGAACGTGGCTCCTACCTTTCTCACAGAAGTCTCCATCCTTTGTGGCCTGTTGAGAGTGAAGCAGCTGCGATGACCCATCGACCTGGAGATGAAGAACCCGGCTGCACGTCCACATGTGATTGAAGGGTAAAGTCAGGCATTGTTTGGTAGTGAAGACATCTCATTATCAACTTTGGTAACATTTCACCAGTTTGTACAAACCTCAACTAAAGGTTAGTGTTTATTAATCAGCGTAGAACAGATACTTACACAGTTTTAATGTGTAAAGTATTCATGACAAATGCTGTAAATGAATACACATTTAAAATGTCCTTTTGTGTGATACAGACACATTAAATATCATAAAAGCTATTCTACATTTAGAGGGGAACTTAAAAGTAAAGTAAGTAAAGCACTTCAGTTGTATAAAGTTTACATATGGGACAAGCTTTGCATAAACTCGGACATAAAAAAAAGGCTCTTTGCAACTTTCATTCAATGACGTTTCTTTGGCACCGTCGATGTGAGTGGAGGAAAATTCACCCGCAGGACTGAAGGAGAAGCTATTTATCTCCCCAAAGCTTCTCCAACACATCGATGTCAGCAGGACAACCGAGATAAAAAGGTTCCTCTTTTCTCAGAGAAGGCTGTCAGTGGTTTTGTTGACCCTTGAGCATCCAGGCAAAGAACAGAAATCACGATGCTATCCTCTCCGGGGGGGCAACTGAGCACGCGCCACCAGGAAGCACGGTGATCATCTTATTTAAGTTATTGTCACTCTATTCTGACAGAAATAGCACTAAAGGGTTTTTATTATTTGAAATAAAAAATAACACTGAAATTATTGGCTGAGAATTAGTTTAATATACCACAAAAAACAATGGTTACGTAGCAACATAAAAAGTTCACCGTGAAACAACAAAAGTGCTGAAAGCCGCTTACTATTTTCACACCTGTGATTCCTTCAGGACTCAAAAACCACAAAAACAAACTGCACTGGAGACCAACCTTCACAATCCCTCCTTCTACTGACGCATAATCCCAGACGCGAATGAGCGTGATATCCACAGCGCACGCTTCCTCTCGGCCCGTGAAGGCATGGCAGCTGTGCAGCAGGTAACCCAAAATAAGCTCCCACCTGGATGTTGTCGGTTGGCGTTGGTGGGGGGGGGGCAGGTGACTACGGTGATTTTACTAAACAAACACACAGCAGAGCACCTGCAAGTCAAATACACGCCGGCATGAAGAGGAACCCCGGTCGAGTCTCCAAACCATCCATTTGCCTACATTTGAATATGAAGAACTTCTAAATGTTCTGTGTGAGTCAATCTCCTGAACAATGAGGAAATAAAATGACTTTGTTCAACGAGTGATGACTCAGTGGATTTGGCTGTCGATCGAGTCCCCTTTCAAACATTTACAGTAAACAGGAGCTGGTTCTTCGAGTTTCATTATCACCGAAGCTCATTGCAGAAGAAAGCGTCCCTCGTGTGGACGGAGCGGCGACATGCAGCATCGAGGGGTCGGAGAGAAGAGGAAGTGTTTTGGTTTGTGTGTGTTTGTGCTTTGTAATAGGAGAACTACTTCAAGAAGAACCTTTGCACATTCATTCATCTATTTTTACATAAACTCTACTAATGAGCCTGGTGGATATCTGTGTTTCTCCATGGAATGCAATAAAGGAGTTACATTTCTCTTTACGGGAAACTTTTGTTCAGGAATCAGGAAACATTTATTACCAAAATATGTCAGACATGGAGTGAAGGGAGTGACCGGTGGGATGTCAGTCAGTGGGGGACCGGGTCTGTTGATGAGCCGACGGGAAGAAACTGTTGGTGTGGCGGGAGGTCTTAGTCCTGATGGACCTCAGCCTCCTGCCAGATGGAAGGGGCACAAACAGGTTTTGTCCGGGGTGAGAGGGGTCGGCTACCATCTTTTTAGCTGCTTCAGGGTCCTAGAAGCAAACAAGTCCTGCAGATTGCAGCCCGTCCTTGGCTGTGGCTACAGCGCACCAGACGGTGATGGAGGAGGTTGACCCTCCGGTAAGGTCAGCGGGATGAGAGGAAAGGTCAGGTGTCTCACCTGTCCGATTCTATGACGATCATTAAATCATCAAGTGGGCTATTTAACTAACTTAAATGTAAATGTGAAGCTGCCTGGGTAAGTGGGGCTGTCCCTTCAGAAAGGAATTCTTAGTCAAAACTCATCTACTATTGTGGACAAGTTCAATTAGTTGATTTCATACATGGGTAAAAGACTTCCATAAGAGCACCACCTTGGATCTTATGTTCATCAGAGTGTGCTTGTATGTGCCTTGGAAATAAGTAGTCATGCATGAAAAGTGATTTTAACATTGACCAATCAACTAAATAAACCTTAGTGTTTAAGTCTAAAGCAGCCACTAGCAGGCTATGAGGGACGGCTATTTGAACGCCTTCAAAAAGGATTTTTCTACGGTCAAAATATGACATTTAATGACGTCATTCCCGCTTATTTAGAATTCTTCCCACCAGTAAAATGATTTCCATCTCACCACAACTACTAACTGGAAATGTTAGTCTTAAGTTTGTTCTTGCACGCAGTGACGTCATATACACGTTACGTCCACACGACAGTTCCTCTGCCTTTGAGCTTCTGCAGGTTGACAACGCGGCTGAGCAAGCCCACGTGACCGTCACTCCAACTCCTCATCCTATTGGCCGCTCCCACTGCACCTGCTCCACTCGCCCGCCAATCACGTGCTTCCGTCGGTGTGATCCAAGATGGCGGCTTCCAGCGCTCCGGACCGGACACCGTCGCGCAGAGAGGCCGAATATCTCCGTCTGCCGGTCGGTTGAACGTCCGTGGGCCGAACAGGAGGAGCCGAGCGGGGACCAGCGCAGGAGCCGTGTCCCGATGGTTTGTTCCGGCGAGGGGTCGGTCTCCGTGGCGGTGTGAAGGGCGTCTCTGATCCGAGGATGGCCACCGACAACAGGGTGCATTTCTGGAGGAGAAGCGCGAAGGTTCCCGGAAGGTGGGTCGCTTCTCCTCCGCCTGGTTACACGAAGCGGGACCGCAGATTCACGCGGTGTTGTTAGACGCGATGGACGAGATGAGGCGTTGAACCAGCAGCTGTCGATCTGTCTCGCGGCCCGAGCCGTCACTGTCAGGGCACCATGCTGCGCGCGCGCACCGCGCGGAAACCCCCCGCTGGGAGAGACGCAGCTCACCGGCGCGTCCCTTCTGCTACTGATGACACCTCAAACCGCGTCCGTGGCTTTTGATTCATAAAGTTAGTTCATGAAATGTCTGGTATCTGACTCAATAAGCATCAGGCTCAGGATCAGGATCCCCCGCAGCCCGCAGGGAGCCGCCTCCATACACAGTACTCACTCATCCCTGCACTGTGTGTGTGATCACACTCCTCTCTTTAGCTGTGGTTGAAAACACGCAGGTTTGGACAGGAAACAGGCCGCTACTGTTTAAACAAGGTTTACATACTGGGGGGGGGGCAGCCTGCCCTTGAAGCTCTCCTGATAAAAGCAGTCTGAGGCCAATGAGAGTGTGGCCCTGCCAGATAAGCAGCGCTCTCAGCCAGCAGGCGTACTGCCGGTGTGTCCGTGCAGAGGGACGGGTTGACGAGGTTCGCCTGTGGGGACTCACTGTTCCACACCAGAGGCCCCGGGCTACTGTGCATGCAGTGCTGACTATTAGTAAAAGTTCAGAGGGCCTTATGTGTACACATGCAACACCCTCCGTCCCAAAACCTTTAAGAAGAGTTGATCAAAATGATGTATTTTAAAAAGTTCTCACAGCCTCCAGTCCTCTGGACTCGGACACCACAAGCTGGTCCACCTGCAGTTTCTTCTGTTTGTCTTTGCAGAAGCTCTCAGGTTCCATTGAGGATGTAACCATGGTTTAGACATTGAGGGGGTGGACGCTACGGTCGACGGGGGGGGGGGCACTCAGAGAGTCCCGATGCATTTCGCTTAACAAACGGTTCATAAGAGGAAGGAAACACATGTTTTACATTGACTGCTGTATATTGGGGGGGGACACGACCCTCCCAAAGGATGCGGTTACGCTCTTGGCTTCCATCAGGTTGGAGCGCAGACGTGTTCACATCTCCAGAGGTGTTGAATCGGGTTCCAGTCGGGGCTCTGGCCGGGTCACTCGGGGTCACTCACACTGGGGGGGCCACATGTGTTGCAGAGGTGACAGTGGTTCACTTGTCATCTTCTACAGTGTACAACCAGTTTATGGAGCGCAGCATCCTCCTCTCGACCCACGGTTGCGACGCACGTAAGTGCCAAACCCAACCGTGCTGCATGGCGTCCTGTTATTTGTCTCCCATTTCCAACCTTGTTTTGCTTGATGCTTCCAGTACTTGAACATGTGTTGAATGCATGAACCAGCACTGCACCAGTTTGCCGTCTACATCGTTCAGCTGTTTTTGCGGGATCGTTGAGTTTCTTTTGTGTTCCTTTGAGTGACATCATCTCCTCAGTTCCTGCCTAAATATTGCACCAGCTCCGATGTGAGTGAGACCCTTCTCCATCTGTCTGTCTCTCTTTCTTTCTGTTTGATGTCTCAATGTGTCCCTCTGCAGGTATCCCAAAGACACAAAGCCCAAGTTCAACAATCTCAAGGCTAAAAAAGCCTCCAGCTTCCACGAGTTCGCCCGCAGCACCAATGACGCTTGGGACATCGACGAAGAGGAGGACGAGGACTTCCTTGGGACTCCAGCCCAAACGTCCTCCCTCCCATCAGGCCTCCCCTCTTCGTCAATCCAGAACCAGGTAGCTACAGGACCTCCTGTTTATCCCTGAGCAACCATGGCCATGTAGTGTGACGGGAGACGTTCCCCTGTGATTCTACCCCGCAGCTGCAGAATCCGCTCGGGGACACGGAAGACAGAGTGTCCCACCTTCCCAGCACCGGGGATCCAGACCTCCAGCATGCGCGGAAGGAGGACGTCAACAGCAGGGTTGTCAAGTCTACGAGTGACGTCCACCTCAACACGTCCTCTGGTATGTAGGCAGCACACAGCAGCCAATGACCTCATATCAGGCCTTTAGCACGGCCGACCTCAACATCTACAGTCCTGAAGATGTTTCTCCAGATGCTCTGATCCCATGTGCACAGATGTGTTTCCAGGTAGAGACCATGAGATAGCCGGGAGAACACCACAGGACTGTTCACTGATAATGTGTCTTATCGCAATTATGCTCTTCAAGCCGGCTTCCCACCTGGTGACTGTCCTGGTCACCGTCCTGGTCACCGTCCTGGTCACCGTCCTGGTCACCGTCCTGGTCACCGTCCTGGTCACCGTCCTGGTGACCGTCTTGGTGATCATCCTGGTGACTGTCCTGGTGACCGTCCTGGTCACCGTCCTGGTGACCGTCTTGGTGACCGTCTTGGTGACCGTCTTGGTGACCGTCCTGGTGATCGTCCTGGTGACTGTCTTAGTGACCGTCCTGGTGACCGTCCTGGTGATCATCCTGGTGACTGTCTTAGTGACTGTCCTGGTGACCGTCCTGGTGACCGTCCTGGTGACCGTCTTAGTGACTGTCCTGGTGACCGTCCTGGTGACTGTCCTGGTGACTGTCCTGGTGACCGTCTTAGTGACCGTCCTGGTGACCGTCCTGGTGACCATCCTGGTGACCGTCCTGGTGACTGTCCTGGTGACCGTCTTGGTGACCGTCTTAGTGACTGTCCTGGTGACCGTCCTGGTGACTGTCCTGGTGACCGTCCTGGTGACCGTCCACCAGCTTTCCAGTGAATAAAAACAGCAGTCAACGTCTTATACAATCTCCTGTTGTCCAGGGGAAATTATGTCCTTTAGCATCACCAGGAGAAAGGTGTGTTCAGGTGGTAGTTTATGGAGTGTTGTGACTGCTGTGCTATGACGCAGCTTGGGTCGCCTTTTTCATTTAGCCGTTCACCTGAACTTCATCTCATCTCATAACCAAAGATTGATCCAGACTGGTTTGATCTCCTTCTAAAGTACGCATAGAATACTTGTGACCCCTCAGCTGATTTATACCCATCGTATAACCCCAATGCTCATGACGAGATGTGTTAATTCTGTTGGAATAGGAAATATTTCTGAACAGCCCTTGTTCCAAATCTCATGTGGTACCTTCACATTTTATTCAACCATTTCAGGTCAAAGCTGATCTAACACACAGTGACTGTGGCTGCTGAGCTGAACGTCGTTCTTCTTTGCAGTGGTTGCATTTAGCGCTTGTAGGTTCTCTCTCCATATCATCAGATGTTCTCGTGCTTCCCTCCACAGTTCGCTCCACGCTGCAGAAGCAGCCGTCCCTCCCAGTGCGCCCCATCATCCCACTGGTGGCCCGCATGTCGGACCAGAACGCGTCGGGAGCACCGCCCATGACGGTGAGGGAGAAGAACCGGCTGGACAAATTCAAGCAGCTGCTGGCTAGTCCCAACACGGACCTGGGTAGGAGAGCAACGCCCTCACAGGCCCACAGGATGCCATGAAGCGTATCGCTCTATACCCATATCTTACCGTGTGCTCTTCCAGAGGAACTCCGCAAGCACAGCTGGTCGGGCATACCGAGAGAAGTGCGGCCCATCACGTGGAGGCTTCTCTCTGTGAGTCGCGTGTCCTGTGTTCTGCCTCGTTGCACAGCTTTGGGTCTGAAATGAGTTAGTCTGCTTCTCCTGACCCAATCTCAAACATCTCCTCCCTTCTCCCACAGGGCTACCTGCCGGCCAACAAGGAGCGCAGGGAGCTGGTGCTAAGGCGGAAGCGAGAAGAATACTTTGGCTTCATAGAGCAGTATTACCATTCCAGGACCGACGAGCACTACAAAGACACATACAGACAGGTAGCACTGAGCCAGCTGGTGGATTACACTCTGCGGCACCGTTAGCCGTCGCCCTAGTCTGCACGAGGGGAAGCTGCAGAGCAGCAGAAAACACAACTTCCATCCTCTCTTTTCCTATATTGCAAACTGAGAAAGGTCTGAGTGGCAGGGAGGAGTCGTACAGTGTTGCCCGCCCCCCCTCTAGAATTAATTGTGTGCAACCTAAGAAGTGGTCGATGAGGACGCTCCAGGCAAAGGTGGCACACGTAGGCACTGAGCCGGCTGGGGAACTGCTCTCTGGGCCAAACGGCACCAGCGGAGGGATTCATTGTATCTACCATGGACATAAAATACTCTTTAACGAATGAACTTAAACTACATGAAGCGTGGTCTGCTTTGATTACGTAGAGTAACGTCTACTCCTGTCATGTCTCCTCCTGTCAGATCCACATCGACATTCCGAGGACAAACCCTCTGATTCCCTTGTTCCAGCAGCCCGTAGTACAAGAGGTAAGAGCTGGATTCCGCTTTGCATACTTCATCATCATCATCATCACTTTCAGGAGGCTGTTTCATGAAGCGAGATCAAAGGTTTAGGCTGCCGGCTCCCTCCAACAGAGCTGGATTGCCATGGCAACCGATCACGTTAAGCAAAGCAACAAAGAGTAGACGGATGGATGCATGCTGGTCGTTCTATGGGAGGAGGCCCCACGGGTCTCCTGCTGTTACCGTACCAACGGCATGAACGTCATTGCTTCACTCGCTGTGTTCACGTTGTTAAATATGCTGAGTGGACACACAATGTCTGTCCAAAGATGAGAGATGACACGTCGTCCAAACCCTTTTCAGAAGCTCCAATGGTTCCATCGGTCGGCTTCTGGCTCCGTGTCCGTTTGGGCCCTTGGTTTTGGGTGTTGGTTGAAACTGAGGAACAAACTAAGCAGACGCTCGAGGGACTGAAATGACAAATGGGGCCGGACCTTCTTACGGTACCGTGTTTTCTCTCAACGTAGAAAGAACCTCAGTGCCTTCTTGGAGGGGGCGGGCGCCCCCCCTGTAAGAGTGGGGCAAACGCTGCAGTTTGCTGCTGTAGATGAGAGGGACACTCACTGAGGAAGGACGTCTCATAAAAGGGAACCCGGCTGGTTCCTCTAATGCGGTGACATCGTGTGGTTTTACAAACGTGATTTGTGTTCACACAAAGAGAAGCTGTGTGGTTCAGTGATTTAACCCACGTTCAGCTGCTCCAACTCCAGTCAGTTCTAACGAGGACATCCATCAGACATCAGAACATGGGTCCAATTCACCAATGCAACAGGAGCTTTATCATTTGTATATGCAACGATTTGCAGCAGGGACAACTGAGACAGAACCCCCATCAGACAGAACCCCCATCAGACAGAACCCCCTTCAGACAGAACCCCCGTCAGACAGAACCCCCGTCAGACAGAACCCCCATCAGACAGAACCCCCGTCAGACAGAACCCCCTTCAGACAGAACCCCCTTCAGACAGAACCCCCGTCAGACAGAACCGCCGTCAGACAGAACCCCCTTCAGACAGAACCCCCATCAGACAGAACCCCCGTCAGACAGAACTCCCGTCAGACAGAGACCCGGTACACTGGACCTGGAGGTTGAGCTGCTGTAGATGGGCGATGGAGTCTTCTTGTATTCCTCATCTCTTTGACGTTACATGTCATCATTGACCTTCATACGCGTCTTCGTCTCCGTACACTGATGGCGAGAGCTGCCCCGTAGGCCCATCAGAACAACTCGTCCCAGACGTCTCCAGGAAGCGCGGCGGGCCGGGGATCAAGCCAGCGCTCCTCCGCGCACACGCAGTAACGTTAGTTGTCGTCTTCCTGTCCCCAGGTGTTTGAGCGCATCCTCTTCATCTGGGCCATCCGTCACCCAGCCAGCGGGTACGTGCAGGGAATCAACGATCTGGTCACGCCCTTCTTCGTTGTCTTCCTCTCCGAGTTTGTCAGTAAGTCACTGGTGGAAAATGTGCTGATACAGCGGAGCAAAACATTTCTCTCAACGAGTCGTTTTGCTTTCATTCAGTATTGTTTGTTGTCCCTGCAGAAGATGTGGAGAACTTTGAGGTGGCAGCGCTGCCTCTGGACACGCAGAGGAACATCGAAGCTGACAGCTTCTGGTGCATGAGCAAGCTTCTGGATGGAATACAGGTCCACACACACACACACACACACACACACACACACACACAGTGTTTAATGCTGCCAATGTGCCCGTTTACTGAACAGGTTATTCTTTTAGGACAACTACACGTTTGCGCAGCCTGGAATCCAGAACAAAGTGAAAGCTTTGGAGGAGCTGGTCAGCAGGATAGATGGTAAGTGGCCCCTCACAGTGGAGTATAGCACAGGTGACTCCAGATGGTCACTATTGACCACATCTGTAACCCCACTCCCTCCAGAGGACATTCACAATCATTTTAAGCGCTATGAGGTGGAGTACCTGCAGTTTGCTTTCCGCTGGATGAACAATCTGCTGATGAGGGAGCTGCCGCTGCGCTGCACCATCCGTCTCTGGGACACCTACCAGGTAGAGAAGACTGTAGATTCCCCGTCAAATGTAAAGCGGTACAACAACCAAAGGCAGGGGACGAGGTCACTCAGCTCTACGGTGTTTGACTCTGTTCCTGCAGGCTGAAGCGGAGGGTTTCTCCCACTTCCATCTGTACGTGTGTTCGGCGTTCCTCATTGAGTGGCGCAAAGAAATCCTGTCCATGGTTGACTTTCAGGTACCGGTCTGTCCTCGTTGTCCTGCACGCTTACCTGAGAGCATAACCATTCGTTCTGATTGAATTTGGTATTAAAGGTAGCTGTGTTGAAGAAGACCATGAACGCTGTTTAATGTCGACAGTGGGAGCTTCTCATCTTCTTCCATCCAAGCAGAGGAGACACCCGCCTTAAGGTTTTTAACCTCTGCGTTCCAAAACAGTGTCCCTGTAAATGTGGATTTGTGTTTCCCCCAGGGCCTCCTCATGCTACTGCAGAACCTTCCCACAATCCACTGGGGCAACGAGGAAGTGGGTCTCCTCCTGGCTGAAGCGTATAGACTGAAATACATGTTTGCAGATGCGCCAAGCCACTACAAGAGATAGGCTGGGGGGGCACAGCCCCCCCGAGACCAGACTGTGACTGCAGGGACCCCCGGTACTGGAGACACTCCAGACGTCCACGTGTCTTCTGTGAGGGGACCTGGAGGTGAACGTCCCAGTGGACGTGGGCTGCTCAGCGAACACACGATCATTGCGGACGGGTGCGCTGTGTCAACGGACTGTTACAGTGTGATAAGTACAGTTATCCCACGCTGGTTAACGTATGCTGCTCATGCAATGTCTCCTGTGGTGTGAAGAGCATTTTAGTGAAAGACTCCCTCCACGGATTCGCTTTTCTTGTTTTCAACATATCGTTTGGTATTTGCCTTAAAGGTACGATACCTAAACCAGGCAAATACTTTATTTCTCTTTTAACACACTGTCACCCTTCTACACTGAGGTTGACCCCCCCTTGCGTTTTGGTTCATGGTCACCTGATGTGCACGGAACAATCAAAAGGTCCTTATTTGTCAGTTTAATTACCAATATTCTCAATTCGATTAGGTATTAAACCTAAGCGCAGCAAATATTCGGTATGTTTGGTTTTACAAATGGAGACACTGGGTACCGGTTGGCCTTGGTCATCATGAGTCAGCATGTTGAATCACGATTAGCCCCCGTGTGTAGTGTCTAGTACATCGCATCGCCTCTGAATAGACAGAGACACTCTGCTTACGTAGCTTTGAAATTCCTTTCTCAATTGTTTGTCAGAACTGACTGATAATTTTTATTATATTACAATGTGAGCTGTAGACTGTGGCGCACGCAGTAAGGGCAGCGTAATGTAAATGATCCTCTATGAAGTATCTAATTAGATACATGTGCTCACTGTAAACACAGCAGCGCACGGAGGATAGCTGTTCGTAGAGGAGCAGAGGCCCCGTCGATGCTCGTTCCGTACTGGAGGACCTTTGGACACCACATCCTACCGGAGACGGTCCTGTGGACAAAGTGCAGCTCACAGTGTGTGACTGTGCCTTTGTGATGAGCATTTGTCACGTTCTCCTGTCTTCTAGAGTGTACAATAATAGGGATAACTGCTTTGGTATCTTTTATGCTAGTGTTTTGTATTTGTATCTGTGACATTGTGGGTTGGGGGCCGTGAATATGTGTGCTACTATCTACCTTCATTACCAGTGATCTTCATAACAATATGACAATCATCATCATCATTTCCTCACATTAGTTTATAATCTGGATTTCCTATGCACTAGATTCCTGGAGATTTTATACAAACATTCAATAGCGATTGTCATGAATCTTAATCCATATTGAGGAATTGCCTGTATATGGGTTTACCAGATGGCTGAGGTTACTTCATGGTATCATACGAGGTCATCGTGGTACTTAGATTGAGTCTGAGAAAGGGATCGTTTAATCGCTGGAAAACACTGTTTTATGCTTATTTATGGTTTATTCATGGCCAGGTTTTGCTTTAAAGCCGCTCTATTGTTGTTCATGGACTTAGTTTTACCCTTTAAAAGGCGTTGGATGTTTTCGTGGGTGATGTTGAATGTATGCCTTTTGCCTTAAACTAGTTATTTTTCCATTCAGGGGCCACTGGTTGTTCACTGTTTTATCTCCTCATGACGTCTCACGATGTGATGTAACAAATAAAACCTTTGTTTCAACATGAATACGCGCCTCGTACACGTAACCAGCGGGTAAACAAGTCGGCACTCGGAAGGCGTTTGCGAATGGAGCACGTGACGCGACGGAAGTGACGTCATCTCAGCGAAGTAACGTGAACGTGACATAAACTTCGGTTTCACTTTTGCAGACATGTCAGCGTGGTTTACGGCCACGAACCCCGGTGATACCGCGACAAACCGCGTGGACCCACCCGGGGAACGAGACGCCCGTCGAGCGGGGGCGCGTTTATGAGCTGCCGGTGTAGCCAGCAGCGAGCTAACGTTAGCCAGCAGCGAGCTAACGTTAGCCAGCAACAAGCTAACCTGTGGTCACGCAGCACAGTGAGTAACCTCAGCATTGACCTTTCACCTGACCCACCTCAGGCTGTTAGCCACCAAGGGTCTGTGTGCTGGTTTTTACGTAGTTTAAACGGATGCTAGCTAACGTCAAGTATCGCCATCGTTAGCCACATTGCGGCGGACTAACTTCGGCTGTCCGCTCGTCACTTCGTTTGCCTCAAACTGCTGCTGTCCCCTGCAGAGCGGCGGAGCAGCTCGGTGACGGACGATGGATGGCGTCAGCTGGAGCTCCACCGGGGCCCGCGAGTCGTTCAGCCGCTGCAAGGCGGCAGCAGACACCCTGTCGAGGCTCGCCAGCTTCATTGCCCGGGCCGACCCCAGACCGCACGCACAGAACCAGAACCAGAGGCAGCAGCCGTCCCGCCTGGCCACATGTGACTGTCAAGAATGTGGTAAGGGCTTCTCTAATGCAACAGATCTGTTGCGTCACCAGGGGCTGAAAAGCACATTACCTAAGCCTCACCGTTGTCCGTCCTGTGGGCAGGAGTTCTCCCTGAAGTCGTCCTTGCAACTGCACAAGTGCCGACAGGACTCTTCCCAGTGTGACCGGTGTCCCGAAGAGTCCCAGCGGAGCCCTACGGGCCCCTCGTGCACAACCTCAGAGCCATACGGGTGGTGCGCCCCGCGTGGGAGAGGCTTCAGCCAGAAGCCGGCTCTGCTGCACCATCAGCAAGCTGGTTGTAGTGAACCGCCGTTACCATCGGACGTAGTTAACGCAAAAAGCCTTCCAGATGATTGTCCACCTGTTCCCGAGGGAGACTCGGCCCGCTCGGGTTCCTCTGACTCTGCGGGGCCCGGCTGCACCGCTGTGTGCCGATTGTGTTCGTCAACGTTCCGCTCGGAGTCCGGGCTGCAACGCCACAATCGGACTGACCATGCCCAGCAGGGGCTAAAGACCAAAGGGGAAAGTTCTGCCGGAGAAGAGCGGAGTACCAAGGTGAACGGAGCTCTGATTAAAATGCAAAAATCCAAAACCAAGCTTCTGGACTGCCGCTCTTGTGACATGGTTTTCAGGACCACTGCAAAGCTGTACATGCACAGAAAAGAGAAGCACAGCCGAGAAAAGAACATCGTAGAACCGAGGCCGGTCGTAATCAAGCGCAGGAGAGTGGGCACATATCCGTGTCAGATCTGCAGCAAGGTCTTCTTGCATCATTTGTCACTTCGGGCCCATTACAGGCAGCACACAGCCTCCAGCTTCAAAAACGAAAGTCTGCCTCTAGGACGAACCAAAGACTCAAAGTTACCAGACAATAGCAGCATAGCAGTAGACAAGCCTGTGAAGGCTGGTCCAGGGAGGCCCAGGAAAGTGCCCAAAGTAGAGAACAAGGGTGCTGACCGAGGGCGATGCAGAGAAGTGCCTGAGGAGGAGGAGGAGGAAGAGCGGGAGAGAGAGTTCCCTTGCCCCTCCTGTGCGGAGGTTTTCTCTACGCAGTCGCGGCTCCAGGAGCACGTGGAGCTCCACCAGTCCTCGGTGAAGCGGCGGCAGTGCAGCGTGTGCACCAGTGAGATGGACACCTGCAAGTGGCCCGGCTCCAAGAGGCAGAGGCTGTACCACTGCGTGCCTTGCCAGCAGGGTTTCTCAGCGCTCGACTCCTTCCTAGAACACTGTCAGGAGCACCTGCGAGTCCGAGTGGAGGAGGACAGCATCACAGAGGGCTACGCCCATCGGACCAGAACCGCCTGAGATCCAGTCTGAATGTCAGCAATTGCCTTTTTGCCTTGAGGGGTTCGAGATATTCCTGTTGGTTTGCCAGTTGGGTTCGTTGGGTCTTGCTGTCTGTTTAATGTTGTCCATACCAACATATCAGGGGGTGAATAGAATGACGTACTTGGCTGTTTGCGTGTTTTATTTAGGCCTTTCACTGTGAAACACTCGATACTGTCATCAATATTCTAAAACATAACGTGGTACTTTTTAGAACGTTCCATTTGTTCCACTTCCCGGTCAGCCGCCTGATTCTTGTGCAGTACGGTGTGTCGATCAGTGGAGGCCTCTGTGGTGAGATGAAACCAAGCATTCCTTAAAGGACCACGTGTGTCGTTGGCGCCAGAGATGCACGACACTTTTCAGAATGAGACCTGCAATAAGGTCACTAAAGCAACAGGTGCACGGTGTTGATTGTTACACATTAAACCTTTAGCAACCTTACAAGTATTCCAAATAACATGCAACGCCCTGCTACCGGTCTTTAGTCGTTGTTTGTACTCATCAGGACCTAGTTCCCCTCACATTGCAGAGCTAGGATGTCCGCGCGGTGCGTTTAGGGAACAGGGCCGTCGTGGGACGCTCCAGCCGCCGCGCCGCTTGTCAGGGTCTATTTACACCAGATAGCTGGTGTGCTTTTGCTGAGTAAGCTCACGTGTTTTTTGCTGTGGGGTCGTTTTTCGTGCACGTCTGGCAATAATCAGTCGGTGTGTCTTGCTGGATCCTCGTTGCTGCGTCTTGTCAGTGACAAAGTGCTTTGAGCGGGTGTGCGTGCTGTCAAAGCTCCACAGGGGGTCGGCGTCCCGTCAGCTGAGTGCAGGTCTGATGCTTTGGTGAATGAGCAGCGATCAACCTGAGGAGGTTGTTTTTCTTCAGGATTTTCAGTCACTATTTGCAAAGTTGTACTGTGAAGACGATTTGATAAGTTTGATGCTTCCGATTTCATTTTTTGAGGACTTTGTTACTTTAGTTTATGGCTCTTATAGATGATGAAAATAAATAAAACAATTCTCCTAACACGTTGTGTCTGGATTGTTTTACACTGGTCTTCATCATAACATCAAGTATTTTAAATAAATGATTGTCCCTCACATTTACTGTAGAACATGTCAAACTTGTCCCGTTAATAATATTCTGTAAAGCCTCGTTTATGCTTCTGTGTCAGAGAGACCAAGAGCCTCCTGCGTGTCCTTTCACACCTCATCAAGGCTGTGATTGGTCTCTGACTACGTCCTTTAGAGTCTCACGTCTCCGTTTTCACAGCACAATACGGCCGTTATTAAAAGGAAGAATGTTTACGAGAGAACGGATCAGATTGAAGAGCTTTTAAATATGAGCGCTTGTACAAGCCGTCATTGGCGGACTATGAGGACGCCGGATGGCCTCTGATTCATGGAGGGAGATCTCCACCAACGAGGGGGACAAAGTCGTGGAGGAAAATACGGGACAAATGTGTCCTTGATGAAAAGCAGCAGTGTGGATGCACGGGGCAATAAAGTCTATGATCAATAAATAAAGCAACCAACGACTTCCACACACAAAGACGTGACTCCACCTGTTGTTCTGGAGGTGAATCGCTCTGCAACACACGCGAGACTTTACAACCAGGAAGTGAAACCAGAGCGTCGACGCGTAAAGACGCAGACTCATGACGTCATCTCCTCGCGGCCTCTTGGCGGCGCTGTGGTGAAGCGGACCAATAAACCGACACGGTGGACGACTTCCGGTGAACTTCCGGTGCCTCACTGCACGTTTCCCTCCCGTTGTATCGCGAAGCGGCAAACGTCTCGACATCGGCGTCGTTTGAGTAATTACAGAGAAAATGAGCAAAGCGCATCCCCCCGAGCTGAAGAAGTAAGTTACGCAGACGCGTTAAAACAACACGGACTTTGTGTTTCGAATATTCTTTGTCTGTAGAAAGCGCCGACACATTGTTAGCATCGGAAGCTAGCTAACGTTAGCTCACGCCGTGCCTGTAATGCTAGCTATGTGTTAGCCTGATTAACGAGCCACTGCCTTGTGTTTCTTCAGGTTCATGGACAAGAAGCTTTCCCGTGAGTAACTAAACGCTGTCTGTCCATCACACGTATAAACTGAGTCCAGTTCAAATGGAAACTTACTCCGATCAACCGAGAAGAAACCACCTTTCGTTCTTGGGATGGAAGCGATGCATTTAAATGTGCAGATGTAACAAAGAACGGGTTTCTGCATCATGTGTCCGGTGACGCAGCACTAATATTGTTTCTTTAAATAACGTCATTACGTTTTCTGCGGGATCCACTCAAATCCTGATGAACGTTTCCTAAAAGCGTCTCAAAATACAGTGATTTAAATGTCTTGAGTCTGCCTACAAATGATCTTCTACAGACTCAAGGATACCTGCTGAAGCCACTTCTTAAATGTGTATTTACATGGAAAAGTATATCTTGTATCATTCAATTTGTTCTAGTAATAGTTTAACATTGTTTGGAAAGCAGACAGGGAAAAGCGAGGCTCAAACGGGGTTGTTTCCTTCCAGTGAAGCTGAATGGAGGCAGACACGTGCAGGGCATCCTGCGCGGGTTCGACCCCTTCATGAACCTGGTGGTGGACGAGTCTCTGGAGATGGGCCCAGGAGGACAGCAGAACACCATCGGCATGGTGGTCAGTACCTCGACTGGTGGTTTTTATCCTCCGGACTGGGCATGAGATTTACAGCCGGTCTCGGGAGAAGAAAGAGGGTGTAACTATGTCACACTCACCAAGTCATAACAACCGTGGCTTCGGACCATGAGCTGCTAGTGCAACCGGCCCCCGCAGGGTTAACATCTGTATTTCAGTTCCTGGAACTGGGAAAGTCTAAAGTTCAGTGTCTTCACTCTGGTCTCGTCTCCTAAAGGTGATCCGAGGAAACAGCATCATCATGTTGGAGGCGTTGGAGAGAGTATGAGGGCAGAGCGGACGGCTGCACACGGAGAGGACAGTCGTCCATCTTTTTACTTCGTCGTACTTTCTGTACTTTGTTTTGTAACCAGTCCATCTGAGACCGCAATGTTTTGTTTGGATATATTTTGAAATGCGTAATCTTGTGAATAAATCCTTTTCTTTGTATCTTGTCTTTGCTTTTGATTGCCTGTGTTCATTGTATTATTAACCTAAGTTGTGTGTCTGTGGCACATGACTTTGTATCTGTAACATCAGGCAGATCAACGACATGAACACGTAGATTATATCTTGCATGTTCCTAATCGTAACACGTGTCCACATGGGGAGAATTTTAAATGTGTGATGTATTTTGGAACTGCAGTATGGAAATGGATCTTGTGCTGTTATCTAATACGGTTCCCTCAGGTTAAATTAGGCAATAGTTGATATAACAAACAACTTCATAGCATTATTTGATGCATAAACGCTGTTTATTTTATTGGCTGGATTAGCCAACAACACAACAATACAATAATAACATCCGGGCCCTCAAATCGGACGAAATGCGACACCGTGAATGTCAACTTCCGGCAACCCTTCAAAGTAAAATGAGACCTGATGACGGACCGGTAGAGGGCGCTGTTTTTGAACGACGCACTTCCTTTTCACGCTGACTCTTATTTTGAAGGGCACATGTCGTCATCGCGGACGCGTTTCTGTACGTCTGGTTTGGTAGCAGCTCGTATGTGGAAAGTCGCAATGTCGGAGGAGGTTGGCAAGGCGCTACAGTCGGTAGTGGATCGGGTGAACCAGGCGGCGGCTCGGCGGCCCAAGGTAACTTCCGCTGCGCGCGCGGCGCCGCGTTACGTAAGGCCGCCGGACACCTCCACCTTTGGACGGCAGTCACTCACATAACACCGCGCGTGCTGGTGGGTGTCCCGCGCGTGGGGACGGGACGCGGCTTGTCGTTGCACACACGCGCGCGCGCAGGCTGCTGGAAGGAGACGTTCTCGCGAACGCTCCTCCATCAGAACGCATCAAGGTTGGTATCTAGGTCAGAGCGCGCGCGCCTCTCCTGACGGATCCAACTGACTGCGTGACGCGTTCCACCGCCCGCGACGACGCACCGGTCCTCCACGCAGGGTCGTGACGTGTGCCGTCTCCCACAGACGCTGCCCGCCGCGCCGCCGCGCCTCGTCGCCGTCAGCAAGACCAAGCCCCCGGAGATGGTGGTGGAGGCCTACAGACAAGGACAGCGCAACTTCGGGGAGAACTATGTGAGTGGTGCTCGGCCGCAGGAGCCCCCCGGGCCCACGAGCGAGACTCACCTGCTGCTTTGTGTCCGCTGCAGGTCAACGAGCTGGTGGACAAAGCTTCGGACCCTCTGGTAGGTTGACGCGTTCACGGGGCTCACCCGACCTCCCCCCCCCCAGACTGTTAACACCTTGTTTCTCCCGCCGAAAGATCCCTAGACTCGTGTCCAGAAATCCAGTGGCACTTCATAGGTCACCTGCAGAAGAAGAACGTGAACAATCTTCTGAGTGAGTGGCGCCGCGCCTCCCTGCTCGCGCCGCGCGTTCCACAAGCTGAGTCTGGTCCTGCGTCCCACAGGCGTGCCCAACCTGCTGCTGGTGGAGACGGTCGACTCGGCCGGCCTGGCCGACAAAGTCAACAGCTCGTGGCAGCGCGTCCGAGGGGCCGGCGCGCAGAGGTTAAAGGTCATGGTGCAGCTCAACACCAGCGGAGAACAGAGTGCGTGTCGACGCCGCGGCCCCGTCTTTCCGCTGCCGCCCGATGAGGAAGGCGGCGATGTTGACCCGGCGCCGTGTGCTGTGTGTTGTAGGTAAACACGGCCTCCCGCCGGAGGAGACGGTCGCCACGGTGAAGCACATCGTGTCCAAGTGCTCCGCGCTGCACTTCTTAGGACTCATGACCATCGGACGCTACGGCTACGACCTCAGCCTGGGGCCCAACCCGGACTTCCAGGTACGAGAAGCAGGGGGGACGCGAGACCAGTGCTGGTCAGTGTGAAGAAGATCAGTGCAGCAAAGAGAACACGTTAAACGAAGACATCTGCTGCACATCTTCTTAACTCAAACCCCAATATTAACATTTGAATGAACAGATATCACACAATCTAAACAATACAAAGGCCCAAAAAAGAAAAGTGCTCTGCGATCATGTGATGGTTTCTAATCTGGTTCTCTGAATGTCCCTCAGATGCTGCTGGCTCGCAGGCAGGAGGTGTGCGACGGCCTCAAGCTGCCTCTGGAGGACGTGGAGCTCAGCATGGGCATGTCTACAGACTTTGAACACGCGGTGAGGACACGCCTCGGCACACGCAGCAGCCGGAGGACGGGGGGAGAGGGTTTAGCTCCGTAGCTCAGCAGGTTTCTGTCTCCTTGGGGGCGTGATGTCGTGCGGTGGTGGTGCTTCTGGCCGCGTTGTTGCTCGTCGTGATGCTTGTGTGAACTGAAGTCTTTCCGTCCCTGTGCTCCTCTTGAAGATCGAGGTGGGCTCCACCAACGTGCGGGTGGGCAGCATCATATTCGGGAACAGGGAGTATCCCAACAGCGCCGGCAACACCCCCAACCCCAGCCCGGCCCCCAGCCCCGAGAAAACCAGCAAGAAGGTGTCCGACGCCGCCGCCAACAAGATGCAGCACCTCACTGTCTGAACCCCCAGAAGACCCCCCCCCCCCGAGTAGAGCAGGAAGCAGATCGCCCCACCGAGCCGCGGAGCTCCGACTGCTGCATCATTTTAACGTGTGACCTGTTGCTCCTTTGAGCGCTAACGGGGGCGTTGAGTGCAGACCTCGTTTGACCTTTTCTAAAAGTGGTGTCACTAAGCTCTCGTGCTCTGACTTCCTCCCATGGACCTCCTAATCCCGCGAGATCACCGGGCCCGAGACCCGGTCCGCCGCTGGAGACCGCGTGGAGGTGGTTTCGCCAGGTGGGCTGGTTGCGCCGACGCTCCCAGGCGGCGTTCCACACATCGGGAAACTGAAGACTTTAATTATCCCTTTATATCGACATCGTATTGTGCGTATGATATTGTTTCTTATGTCGTGTGAGCTCTCTATTCTTGATATTAACAAGAGTTGGGTGGGGGGGTGAGACGGGGGGGTGGGGGGGTGAGACGGGGGGGTGGGGGGGTGAGACGAGGTGGATGGGGGGGTGAGACGGGGGGGGGGTTACACTGCAGCTAACGTTGCGCGGCAGGTTTCTTCCACAGTGCCCCGGTGTTGGTGTGTTCTCTGTTGTCGTCGGTTGGGTTTGTTGAGTTTCTGCTGCGTAGTTCTTGTAATAAATCAAACACGTGACTATTTGGCCTGAATGTCTTTATTAAGAACGAGGAGCTGACATCTGAACCACAATGCAAATAAAAGACGTAGAGGGCTAAATTAACAACGATGAGTGGACTCATTATCAATCTGATCAGAACTCACAGTCATCAATTAGCAACAAGATAAAACATTCAATCTGTGCAAAAGGGATAAACACAGTCCAGCCACTGTTCCAGCATCCAGCAGAATGCTGTCAGGAGGCGTAATGAACAGGATCTGCAGGCCGACCTCACGTACACAAACATCTGTGCTGGAACAACTGGCTGCAGACGGACGGACGGACGGACGCTTCACTTAGAACCAACGTGCTGTCTGAGCGTTTATCACCCAATGAGCTAAATCCCAGTGAGCGGGTTCTGGTCTCCTGATGAGAACCCAAATGAAGGTTGCTCCATGTGGAGCCACGCTGAGGGGAGTCGCCATGTTGTGCATCAGTTTGTGTCCTTGTTTCATACGCTGGTCGTAGACTACGTTCCATGTCATCGAGGAGAAAGGGTTCCCCTCGTAACGCGTAACAGCACCACGCTTACATTCAACAGAACCGCCGTGTCCGCTAAACAACAACAACAACAACAGAAGCCTAACATCTAGCAGGGCGGGTATGTGCCCCCGTGGGCGCTGGTACCAGGGGGGCCGTCCGTCCCGGTGGGGGTCGGCCCGTGTTGGCGTCGCACACACTTTACACCAGCTTCTTGGCCTCGAAGAAGCCTTTGAGGTGCTTCATCTGCCAGGCGCCGGTGGCGAGGAGGATCAGCGTCTGGGCGATGGACCACCACAGCACGCGCTGGTTGGTGCTCTCGCTCGTCACGCGGAACCGCTCCTCCCGATACTGCAGAGGACACGGGTGAGCTCGTCAGACAGACGCCACGTTAAGGCTAAACTGGCGCTTGATTCAGGCCCTGGCGGCTTTTACTGACCCTCTGGTAGTTCTGCTCCTTCTGGATCTGCTCCACTTGGTCCAGCAGCTGTCGGACGCGCAGCTGCAGCTCGGTGAGTTTGTCCTTGGCGGCGATCTCCGGGTAGTTGTTGGTGTGTTCTCCGACCTGGATGTCCAGATGAACCCTCTGCAGCGCGGAGACACACGCGCGGTCGGTGGTGGGATATCCGACGTGGACGTCCGGTCTGAACCCTCTGAAGCGCGGAGACTCAATGGGCGGTGGGCCGGGAGATCACGTGACGCGGCCTCGGGGCCACGACGGACACCCTCAATGGCCGCTGGGCCGGGAGTTTACTGGGGGGAATCGGGGGAAAAGAAAAGTCCCACAATGCTACATGCCTATTACGTCCCGAATAAACCCCGGCATTTGACTTGTATCCATTACCAGTTTTCGTACAGCAAACATTTTCGCGCCATCTTGGTGGAGTTGGAGTGCAAACAGATCTGATGTTCTCCAGGAGTGTGGGAGGTGAAGGTTCTGGAATGTTTCATGTTATACACATTTATATTTTAGAATGGCAGCAAATATAACAAAACCCAACCAGAGGACCAATAAATGTTGTAATAGTCGCCTTACGGGAGAGAAGAAGAAGGTCCCTGTATTTATACCCTGAAATAAGGCGGTTTGCACAACCTGCGCCTTGACATTTCCCTCACGATCCCGTTAGCTCTGGTGAATTCGTCCCAATCCTTTCAGCCTCAGCAGATTTTATGGAATGGAAAAGAAAAGTGCTACATGCTACATGCTACGTCGACGCAGTGACTGCATCCATACCAGTTTTCGTACAGCAAACAGCGCCATCTTGGTGGAGTTGGAGTGCAAACAGATCTGATGTTCTCCAGGAGTGTGGGAGGTGAAGGTGAAGCGTCCATCTGACCCATACTGACGAGAGAGGATGATCTGCGAGGGGGGGTCGTTTTCAGACGGTGTTGACATGTAATTGCATCGGGTTCATAGTACCAGCTCTGCTTCCCTTACCTTCGTCTCTGGATCCTTGATCTCCACGTGCATCCCAAGACCAGGTGTGGCTGGGAGGAAGGAACTGGTCTGCTCTTCCCACAGCTGAGTCCGGTACTTTCCTGTCACACACATGCATCAATCTTACAGAAACCGTTCAAAAGAACTCTGCAAAACCAGGCGAGAGAAACATTACGCAACACAATGAAGCAACACAATGTACCGTGATGGGAAACGTGACAATCTGAATTCTCATCTCACTTAAATGTCTGCAGCGTTTAGACACATTGCGTGGCGTGTCCTGCGGGCTGTGGAGGCAGTGAAGGTGCCCTGCACAGGTTCAGCAGTAGAAGCCGCACGAGCCCACCCCCGCGCGTCAGGTTCCTCCCCCGCTAGCACCGACACGCGAGACGCGGCTGTTAGCCCCCGCAGGCCAACGCCGCCAGCAGCTTACCGATGACCATCGTCTCGTCCGGGATCTCCTCGATGAAGCACCTCCTCTCCGTCTCCTCTATGTGGAAGTAGAGCGCGCGACCCGCGTGCACCCACGCGCACACGAGCAGCGCCGCTCCGGCAGCGCGGGCGGAGAGCATCGCGGAACGCTGGCTTCTGTCCGCGCGCACCAGCAGCAGAAAGCCGTGACGCCGCATCGGTCTGACGTCACCAGCCGCTGCGGAACAAGGAAGGGGATTTCCTGAGAGGCGCGCTGGGTTCGCCCTCAGTAGCGGCTGTCAGGCAGCGCCCGCGTCACTACGGGGAACCACACACACACCGGCCAAAGGCACGAGGGGATTCTTGCTGAGGATTGGGTAAACGAGCCCGGGACAGTGCGCGGGAACATCTGGTTGTATCCAGTGTCGAGATATAGTCACACTTTTAGACCACCACAGGAAAGGAAGAGATAAGGAGCATAAAGTGAGTAATACCATGGCTGGATGTGCGTGTTTCTATGAGGTTGTAACGCCAAACATTGGTGAAACAGCATTGATTTAGACTGTTGTGATTGAACCGAAAGTGGAACGGAAGTGTTACCTGCGAGACTCGGCCGAGGGGGAACAGACGCGTGTTCCCTGAGCCAACAACAGCCGCCTCGGTCCTGACAGATGCGTTCAAACCGCCTGAAAAACGCGTATTGTATCCGGATAACCTTACGGAACGGCTCACGATGACGTTCGGAAGACACACCGTTGGTTGACGCGGGTCCCGGTTTGTGTCGGTCCACAGGTGCCTCCGAGAACCCAACTACTGGCTGCTAAATTGTCCTAGCTAGCTGAAAGCTACCTTGCTAGCTATCGATCTAGCACCGAGCAGGCATCCGACGTTAACGCGCGTCCCCGGCGGCTGGACAGAAACGCCCGGCAACGAGCCGCTCGCCCGCCGGTCATCCCGGACGACCGCGCCGGAGAAGGAGAGCAGGTAAGAGGACTCCCCGGCCGCCATGTAGCTGTCACCGTGCTAGCAGCGTGACGTCACGGCGCGGAGGAAAACAACCTCGTCGTGAAGCGCCGCATCTGTAGAAAGACGACACCCGGGACGAGTGGCGCGCGGGCAGCGACGCGACGCGGGCTCGCTTCGCCTCGCGGCATCGGGAGTGACGTCATGTTTTCCTCCCGTTCACGGGCACGTGGAAGAGCGAGTGTTTAGACCCCGTCAGCAGACGCTGAACGTACCTTTGTTATGGTTTGCCACGTGACTGGACGGGACTATGATGTCACGTAATGTCATAGTGTCACGTCCCTACTGGTTTTCCTCCCCTCAGGTGTTGTTGTTTACTTATTTACGTCAGCAGCTGTTCTCCACATTCACAAACACATCGCGTGTCCACCGCGGTGGTTACGGCTGTGTGCATCACTGCCTCGTGTGGATAAATGCATTAGAGAACAACCAGGACTCGAGAGCTGTCAAAGCAAAGCTGTAAACGTTTTGGTTGAGGGTGAAGTGAAACAACTGGTTTGTCTTGGGCGTGTCGGAGAAAACTTCCACACATGTGTGGCGATACTTGTCAGAGTTTCCTCCACACGGAACCAGGCGACCGCCAGCAGGTACGTGTGGTTGTGTCCACGTCACCCTGATCCAAGACGTTTCTGTGACACCGGCGAGTCACGACTTGAGGCATAAATGACAGAACATCCATGGCAACAATTGGACAAGTGTCGGAATGCGGATGTGTTTTTGTTTGTGGTTCGCGTCGAGTGACGTGATGAGGCTCCAGCCGTAATCGCTGCAGGGGACGCGACGCGTTTTGAAGATGTTCAGCGATACGGTTCCTGTGGTGAGCGCAGGAGGGGCGTGACTCCGGGCCGGCGTCTTCTGGTGGGATTAGCACAGATAACGGCCTGGAACACAACACCGGTGTGTTGTACATGCAGGTTATTGTGTCGATGACGATGTCTGTTTGTCTGCAGGGATGGTGCAGCCCCAACCTGATGGGCCCATGCAGTGGGAGATGTCAGGGGAAGAGGGCGGCGGGACCCTCAGGGTCCCACCAGAACTGGCATCTAATGAAGTGGTCACCAGGTTGCTGGGTGACAACCAGCAGCTTAGAGGTAGGATGCATTCCCATAATCAAACAATAATTCAATGAGCATATTGCTCCAACATTCTTTGGGGGAAGTCGCATGTGTACAGACTGTAAAGCCCTCTGAGAATCTTCCGTTATGTTGAACTATACAAAATGAATGTCATTTGAGTGCTATGTAAAACGGATATCATTAGGCGCGACGTTGCTCCTCTGAAGGACGCACCAATCCCCTTCCTCTCCTTTTGCCTTCATCCTTGCGTCCTCCAGAGGCCTTGCGGCGGAGCAACGTGGCCTTACGGCAGCGCTGCGAGGAGATGGAGGGATGGCAGCAGAGGACTCGAGATGAAAGGGAGTTTCTGAGCTGTCGTTTCCAGGAGGCCAGGGCCCTGGTGGAGCGGCTGGCTCAGGAGAACCACTCCCTGCAGAGCCTGGTGAACGAGCCGGCCTCTGACCACTGCTGCAGGTCCAGCCAGACCGAAGACCTGCAGGGGCCCCCAGCGAGGAGCAGAGCCCTGGAGGGACCACAGGTCAGCAGGGCGCACAAATCCGCTGCTTCCTCATGTCTGTGTAGGGTTACGTGAGCCAGATGCTCGTGTTCAGCCCCCCGGGACCCCCGATGGACGGATGGAGACCTGCTTCCGTTCAAACGCTTGCTGTGATTAATGGCACTCCTTGTTTCAGACTCTACATCCGCGGGAGAAGACCAGGGTGGAGGAGACGGACCGGCACACGCAGACCACGCCCCCCCGCAGCCTGGTAGGACGCCTCACGCTGTTCAGGTCCTGCTGTGTTGTTTTTCATCTAACTGCTTTGGTTCTATGCACATGTGTACACACATACATACATCTGTGTGTTTGTGTACTTGTACACAGAGTACATGTGACACATCGTCCTTGCTCGTGATCCTGAACCAGAAATCCGCCTCACTTTGCCTCGAACACGGCGCCATGTCTGTCTCCTTTTGTGTCCTCCCACGTCTCGTGGAGCTCTACCTCTGTCTCGGTGTCAGGCGTCCGGGGCGGCCCGGCGTCTGTCTCCGTCAAACGTCCTGCTGTCCTCACTTCCTCCCGGCATCCGCTCATCTTTCCCTCTCATTGGTCCCGACAGCCTGTGGAAGGTGCCAACGACTTCCTCCAGGTGCTGAAGAGCCACAAAGAAAAGCTGGAGGAAGGGATGAGAGAGCTGAGGTGGAAGAACGAAGAGATGGAGAGGGAGAGGGACGAGGCAGAGAAAGAGAGAGATCGGATGCTGCGCTGCATTGACCAGCTACGGGCCAAACTGACACAGGTAACCCTGCTGCAGAGCGCCGGGAGGACCACGGGAGGACCACGCCGTGCGTGAACCACGATGTCCCCGCGGCCTGTAGCGGCGGTGTGATCCGGTCCGGGAGCTCATGGACTATGAATGTTTTCTCAGACAAGCAGCGCTACCGAGGAGGTTCTTCAGCATCGCTCTGAGGCGCAGCACTCGTCCGACTGGTGAGACACATCCCCTCCTGCTGGGGGACATTGTTTGACACTAACCGCACTGAATGGACGCTCTGTGTGAGCTGGTGGCCGTTGAGCCTTTGGGCCGAATCCTGTTTGATTAAGTGTAACGATACTGTACCTGCAGAAAAGAAAGACTGGCCGAGGGACACTAGCATGCTCTTTTTGTTCCTGCATTTCTTGGTCTTGATGAATCTGAGACGTCTTCCTCCTCCTCCCTCTCTTTCTCTTCCTTTCTCCAGCTCTAGCCTGGCTAAACTCACAGAGCAGCTTCAGGCCACACAGGGCAGGTGAGCCCACAGCTCTGTGTGGCCTTCTCCCCCCCGCTGTGCATCTCCCACCTGTCTGCAGCTCGTCTCTCACCGCCATGTTTACTGTCAAATAAGACATGCTTTGTATTTTCACTTTCTGCATGTTGTTGTATCATATATACACACACACACACACACACACACTAATAGCAATTGCTAATACTAGCAATTACCATTACTACTAATTTAAACCCAGTATTTTACAACTATTTTCCACCAGACTTGATTATTTTCTCATTCGATTGAATTGATTTGTAGGCCGTGCATGAAATAAATGAGGCGTATTGATAGAATAACTGGTGGATGCAGCAGAGTAACAAGGACGACAGCAGGATTTCCCCGACCTGTGATCAGGCGCCTCCCCAAGAAACCCGGTTTCATTTCTTTCTTTACTTTTACAATCATCTGCCGATGGGCTCAAGCGCCCACAGGTGAGCACCAGCGGGGAGAGACCCCCCCCTCGCAGAATGAGACGGTGGGAGCACCGCCGGTAATGAGCCTTCATCATGTCAGCAGCAGTAGGTGTGGAGGCAGGAGGAGGACCGCGATCCAACCTGACGTCCCTGGGGGGGCGAGCGCAGGTCTTGTTGCTGCTGTAATGTGGAGCTCTGACCGAGGACACGTCCTCCGCTGTGCAGAGAACAGAAGCTATACACACAAGACAATTCATGTTGGGTTCTGGGTTTTGGAAAAACAACAGTGGCAAACTTTTAAATCATGAAGTTATTTATCAAGACTGATTGAATAAATACCAAGAAGATGTCTTTAGATAGATACTTAGATGTAAGAACGCCCCACTTCATGAGATCGTTACACGCGTGTACCTATTGTACGGTCATGCATCCGTTGTGTCCACAGGTATCGTGAGTTGGAGGAGAAGCTCGATTACCTGCAGAAGAGCTCAGCTCAGCGGGACAAAACCGAAGCTGTGCTCAAACAGAAGGACAAGGACTGTGTCCAGGTATGAGCTGCGACCCGTTCCTCCTCCTCGGTCCACGAGGCTCAGCCAGCTCCATGCAAACATCACCTGCAGCCCCAGTGACGTCCAGCGTTTCCCATTTCCACAGCTGGCCAAGGACTGCGAGGCTCTGAAAGCCCAAGCCACGTCCCTACTGGGGGAGCTGAACGAGAGGCAGAGCTGCCTGGAGAAGAGCGAGCGCGAGCGCAAAGTGTCGGAGGAAAAGTAAGCTGTGGCGTCGGCGTGCGTGGCTACACGAGGCCTCTTGAGTGCAGGCGTGCTGACGGGTCGAGCGCTCTTCTCTGTGTCAGGCTGTGCAGCAAGACGAAGGCCCTGCAGGTGGCCGAGCAGGAGCTGGAGCAGCAGAGGAAGCAGCATCACGTGGCCATGGACAAGCTGCTGCTGCAGACACAGAGCCTGGAGCAGGCCCTGAAGACCGAGAGGCACGTGGTCACGGAGGAGAGGTGCGTGCCACACTGCGCTCTTTCTCGGCCCTCGTGGAACAATGCGACGGCTGTGACGCTTCACCGTGGTAATTGTTACTTCCTGCTTTAGTTCACGATCAGACGTTTGATTTTTTTAGTTTTTTTCCCGTCAGGAAAAAGCTGAGCCAGTTGCAACACGCCTACACGTGTCTCTTTAGGGACTATGATAATAAAGTGAAGAGTGAGGTAAGAACCCGTCCAAACGGATCAGCTATTAGCCGTCTCACGTCCGTAGTCACGCGGTGACCCTCCTCTTAGTTCCAGGGGGAAGACCTGTGCAGCCGGCTGGAGGAGGCGGAGCGGGCGCTGGCCCTGAAGCAGGACCTGATCGACAAACTGAAGGAGGAGGTGGAGCAGCAGAAAGGCTCCTTGGAGACTGTTCCCGTCCTCACTGCACAGGTACCGTCACACAGCACACCTGCACGCCTGCACGCCTCCTCCATTCAGCCCCCACGTCGTGGTTCAGGCAGCATTGCGTCATTGGTCATCTCCTCGGTGGACACCGTTCATTTGGGCCTCTTTAAGCCACAGCCACGTGTCAACAAGCTTGTATGTGACACCAGGTGGCTTTGTCTCCCTCCCTCACTGTCACGGTCTTCGCTCAGGCTGAGATCTACAAGGCAGATTTCCTAGCTGAGCGAGAAGCCCGCGAGAAGCTGAACCAGAAGAAGGAGGATCTGCAGGATCAGCTGACTCAGGCCATCGCTGAGATCGACAGGCTCAAAGTGGAAGCCACGTCACGGTAAAAAAAACCACACACTATGTGTGTGCTGCACAAACCGCTGATCGCTCAGGCTCCGTCTATCATTGCTGACCCATAGACTGAGCTTTACCTTGATGGAACTGCCTGTAGCTGCCACTTTCCTCTGTGGATCAACAAACACTGACGTGTCTGAACGTTGGTCCTCTTCTGTCTCAGTGTACGGATGGAGCAGATGAAGCTGAGACACCAGGAAGACTTCCCAACGCGGACGCCACACATCCCCCCCCCACAAGGTACCTGCAGACCAGACAGGCACATAGACGCACGTCAGAAAAGCATAGTTTGATCATTACAAGATCACAAGATCCAGGCCTTATTTTTGTTAATAAAAGCCAAAGGAGAAGAGCAACAGCTGCACCACTGCGGTTTGTATTGCAGCAATTGAGGTTCCAACACTGACGTGTTTCATCACATTCTCGTCCTCTACTTTACGTACAACACCACCGTATCTTTATCGATCCTGATAAGCGAACGACGGCGAATCATAAAAGTTAGTCAGCCCCGATCTTTCCGATGGGTTAACTATTTACCTCGTCTCACCTTGAATATTATGTTATGTAAAGATGTACTTCTCAACTCCAAGTATCGTCTACTCAAGAACGTTGTGAGTGTAGCTACTTGCGGTCATCGGTGCACAAAACAAGTCCTAACCTGCTGTCTTCTCCGATGCAGCCTTCAACACGGTGCCCCCTGCCGCCTCCTTCCGAGTGCCCGGGTTGGCAGCGGGGGGGGCAGCCGGAGCCGAGGAGCTGCCCGATCTATGCTGTCCTAAGTGCCACTACCAGGCTCCGGATATGGACACGCTGCAAATACATGTCATGGACTGTATACAGTAATATGAGCACCGTTCATCCATGAGGCTATATAAACCCATATACATACATCGATACAGATATATGTGTGTATAGTAACACAGTATATTGACGTTCCTTGTGTCTACTCTTGTCATCCTGGAAAAAGATGTTGGTAGTTGCACCTTACGCTCTCTGCCTTGTCACCTGATAACCTTGTAATCTAGAAACACACGTTCCTACCATGCAAAGAATCACATGTGTCCGAATTTAGACAACTATATGAAGAGGTGAATGTCTAGATAATCAGCATGCTATGTTCCCCTAGAGAGGGATTCAACATTTACTGTAGCTTTTCCACTTCTGCACCCGCCCTTTTGTATTCCTCCCCCCCCCTGCACATCTGTATATGTGTATGATCCCTCCTGCCTGCGTCCCTGGAAGGCATTGTCCGTGTCAATCACTTTAATAATCAAACGTGAAACAAGTGAGAAGGAGAAACACACGATAACGTGAAGAACCTAGTGAGCGTAAATAGTATTGAATGTTCAAACATGTTTTGGTCATACATGTTGCAGTCTACATTGCCTACAAACATATTCTAAAGTGTTAAAGATGGATTTTGTCTCCGTATTCTCTGTGTAGACCTCTGCTTTATTTCTGATGCCAGACCGACCTTCAACCCCACGTGGCTCATTCTGTGGCCCTCATCCTGCATCATCTAGATCTGTGCACGAGGAGGCACACTGAGGGTCTTTCACTTAGTGTGAATAGTCTGCAGTTACAGATCCTTTGGTTCAAATCATCTTGTTTTGAAACTGTCGAAGATTTACAAAATAAAATAAAAAGAAATCAGTTGTTTATTTGTCAAATTTGTCCAAAAGCATCCGTGTAGATCCACAGGACATGAGGACGGCTCGCCTCGCGCTGCGTCTGTCGTTCAACGTGACCGCGGAAACCGACAGGCTTTTAAGTTTGGGAATAATTGTCCTTTTGTTTTTGAGAAACTCTTCAACCTTTGACCTTTAACCGCCTGCTCGACAGCTTGGCCGCGCGGTTGTAAAACACACTGTCTTTGAGACGTGTGCCTTCTTAACTCTTCACACAAAGTTATGTTGGTTGACAATTTGAAGGGGAAGCAAATGTCTTTGTTATATTACACATGGGGTTTTACCGTAACAGATTTATGTTGCACCATACAGAAAACTAAAATGATTTAACGGTTTCTGTAAGAACAGTACTATCAAGTGGTTGATATGAAGTGTCTTATCACCAATAATCACATTATGCTGCTATAACCTCATCCTACTGTTACTTGTATGTATTTGGTGCCGTTACCACGAAGTTGCACCTTACCGTAATAACTGGAATCATTCTTTTGATCATTGACATTAATACCCAGGCACAGCTTCTCTCTGTCCGTGGGGACATTACGTGTCACGGTGTCACATGTGGAGCTGCTCAAACTGAGGAGCGACACACAGAAACGGACCGGAAGCAGTAAACCCACCTTCAAAGTAAGAGCGGCGACCCCACGTCTCATGACGGAGGCGCCGTCTCTGAGCTTTACATTGCATTGTTTTCTACATCTTACTAATTGTATTAATTTAACTCCCAGGAGTTTGTTTAAGGCGCAGATCCGGTTCCGTGGATCTCAGACAGACGCTCTGCTACACGACCGGAAGCCGCATCGGTCCGCTTTGAGTGAACCGGGGCGCGCGCGCGCGGCCGGACGCGCGCTCCATTCGACCCGCAGTCTTTATCAGTCGGCGCGTGTCTGAAGCGTCTCCAGCAGGCATGTCGGGCTCAGCGACCCCCCCGCCGCCGCCGCCGGAGCTCGTAGGAGCCGACGGCTGTTTCCCCCCGGATACAAGCCGTTCAAACCGAGGAACACGGCCTGGAGCGCGGCTTCCGTCTCACGGCGTTCTCGGACCTGAAAGGATGAGGCTGCAAGGTCCCGCAGGAGGCTCTGCTCAAACTCCTGGCGGGACTGGAGGCGGACCGGGCCGACGGGACCGGGAAGGCCGGAGACCAAGCGTTAGACTTCGGCCAACAGCTGCCCGGCCCTCGACTCGGTAAGAGACGCGTGGAGCTTCACGCCGCACGCCCCGACGTCGGCTAGCTTAACTGTTGCTAACCGCGTTAGCTCGGGTTGCGTCATGTGACGGATGGGCAGCAATGGATGATCCATTTAAAGCCTGTTTGTTTTAAAAGGCCTAAATCGATCGAACCTGTTAACCTATAACACAAATACAGTCTCAATGAGCTGCGTCGATTCGAATGCTAATGACGTTAATCGATAACTTGACGTCAGCTAACCGACGTTAGCCGAGAGGACCGAAGATCCGCGAGTTGTCAAACGACCAGCGGTGTGAATCCGCACAAACGGGCTTCCGGTCTGCCGGGGTCACGACCTGCGGCGGAGCGGCTCGGTTCGCCGCTTTAGGGCGACGCGCGACGCTTTGCACGTTGGATGCGTTCAGGTGCCGTTTCAAGGCGCACGCGCACCCCTCATGGCGCCGGCGTGTAACCGTGCGTGCGTGCTTGCTTGCTTGCTTGCAGGCGTGGGGATGGACTGCTGCGTGATCCCACTCCGGCATGGGGGGCTCTCCCTGGTCCAGACCACAGACTTCTTCTACCCGCTGGTGGAGGATCCCTACATGATGGTGAGTGTCTGCTGCACTGGAGAATGGATGGATTAGCATGGGGGGGGGTGACCTTTGGCCCCTCCGTGGGGATATCGTGACTTGTTTTGATTTGTCTCTGCTCTCTGTCTCAGGGAAGGATAGCGTGCGCTAACGTCCTCAGTGATCTCTACGCCATGGGCATCACGGAGTGCGACAACATGCTGATGCTGCTGAGCGTCAGCCAGAAGATGAACGACAAGGTGGCGTTGTGTGTTCTGTGTAATGCTCTTTTCATTGAGCTTGTGTCTCCACTAATTAAGTTTGCACACAAGTTACAATGAGTGCATTAAATGTTTGAAAATGAGCTTTGACTTGTGCATGTAGGACCGGGAGCGGGTGATGCCGCTGATCATTCAAGGCTTTCGTGATGCAGCAGAGGAGGGGGGGACGTCTGTGACGGGTGGCCAGACGGTGATCAACCCCTGGATCATCGTAGGCGGAGTAGCATCCGTCGTCTGCCAGCCGAACGAGTTCATCATGTGAGTCAACGCTTGCTTCGCTTTTTCCTGACGTGGGAAGGGTCTCGTTGTTTGACACCTCATCTTCTTCCGTGATTTGGCCTTTCAAACGCACCTTTTTGTGTATTAAGGGAATAGATTTGACCTTGTGTAGAAATAAACCTGCTAGTGAGCTTGTTGAGTGAGTGACAGGCAGCTTCCTAAATTCAGATCAACATCTCCAGTTTGGAAACAATGACGACATTCGTATGTGTTTGGACACAGTTTGCAACAATGTGTGTGTGTGTGTGTGTGTGTGTGTGTGCTTTATAAAAATGACCCCACCGAACTGCATGCTGGGTACAGCTCACAACAAGAAGTAACTCTGCTGCTACATGAAAACACGAAAAAACAAGTTTGGGTAGGCGAGCTTTGAACAGCTGTTTGCAGCCACAGCAAGCTAACATAACAGCTAACACGCTAACTCGCCAGCTGTTCGAGTATCTACTGTCCGAAGCTTTAATACCGTGATATGGATTTTTGTTCTGGACCGATTTATTCAGAAATAACATCCTGATCTTGATTCATTATAGACTCCTCCCCCCCGCGCTTCCTTTTTGTGTTTCTTATCCCCATCGAGTGAAAACCGAACGCCTTAGAACATGTCAAGGGGGAGGAGTGTCGCATGGACGGGCGCTTAGAGGCTCTGCACCTCTTGATCGGGGCTCACATGTGACTCCGTCCCTCCTCTCAGGCCGGACGGGGCGGTGCCCGGGGACGTCTTGGTTCTGACCAAACCTCTGGGGACGCAGGTGGCTGTGAATGCTCACCAGTGGCTCGATCAGGTCAGCCACCGCTCGCATCAGCAGCGTTGTGTGCCACGTTGTTCATACCAGTTACGTCATCGTCGTACTGTCCTCACCCTCCTGTCTCCTCAGACTGAAAGGTGGAACAAGATCAAGCTGGTCGTCACAAAAGAGGAAGTCAAGGAGGCCTATCAGGAAGCCATGTTCTCCATGGCAACGCTCAACCGCACAGGTACACACACCTGCGCGGAGTCCCTCCCTCTACAGATCGCCTCTCCTCCCGCCTCATTATTGCTTTGGGGCTTTCTGTTGACATGGAGGGGGAGTGAGTGCTGAGTAGGGCTGCGACTAGCGCTTATTCCTGTTATTGATTCGTCTATTGACTTTTCTTTTTTTTAATCTAATAATTAGTTCCCATTAAAAAATGATAAATGTTGGAATTTGTACACGATGTTAATGCACATAAATAATATATAGATTACATTGCAATACAAAAAAGTGCAAATATTAATCATCAGTTACTCAGACTAGAAATGAAGCCTCTGCGGGTGACGAGCACGTGGAGGATGCTCAGTCCACCTGAGGCCGCACGAGCCTCTGCAGGTACTAAAGGAGAGAAACGCACTCGTTTTTAGAACTACCATTCTGTGTTGGGAGGATGCTACGTGGAGGAGGTCAACTATCCAGAACTAAAAGACTGATTTACTGCATTGCACTGAACAATGTTCCACGCTGTAATACCACCGATAACAGTCTGTACTTCCTGCCGTCGGTCGGAGTTGCGTCGTGCCTGCTAACCCGCTACTGGAGGAAACGAGGTTATTGTGAAAAAGGGTTTTACACAGTGACGGGGGAATGGTACTAATCCCCAGGATAAAATGCCCAGGGTGCCACACGTAGCGATAGCAAGCATCCTCCATGAGACGCTCTGCTGTCCAACATGTAAGCGTGAACCGTTCCATGAGTTAACGCAGCGTTGCCATCAGGAGAAGACGTGGAGGCTCCAGGACGCTTGCGTTTTAAACGTTTGTGCTGAGAGAACCCTGAACGAAAGAGTCGTTCCGAGGATCCACAAACGCCAGTAGGAGGGACCTGATGAGTCGGCCTGTTTGTTCCTCTGTGACCTTTTGTCGTTGTGGTGATCCAAGTCGCTGACGTGAATGTGCGTCTCCAGCTGCAGGCCTAATGCACAAGTTCCAGGCTCACGCTGCCACGGACGTGACGGGTTTCGGGTTGCTGGGACACGCAAACAACCTGGCAGCACAGCAGCGAGACGAGGTGGCCTTCGTGATCCACAACCTGCCAATCATAGCCAAGATGGCTGCCATCAGTAAAGCCTGTGGGAACCTGTTCAACCTGATCCAGGGCACGTCCGCAGAGACTTCTGGTATGAAAAGTGACCTCCGCTCAGTAAATGTTGCCCTGCCGTGTGTTTGTATTTGTACAGTAGAGCATGCGTGTTCTTACCCCCCCACCCCCGTGCAGGCGGGCTGCTGGTGTGTCTTCCCAGAGAGCAGGCGGCCAAGTTCTGCTCGGAGATGAAGAGCCAGAGCTCGGCAGCTGGAGGTCAAGGGGCGGCGGGTGGCGCGTGGATAATCGGAATCGTAGAGAAAGGCGACCGCCGCGCTCGCATCATCGACAAGCCCCGCATCATCGAGGTCCCTGCACGGGGAAGCCAGACCGCCAATCAGGAGAACAACTCGGCCAGCCCCAGCCCCAACCTCTCATAGTGTGTGTGTGTGTGTGTGTGTGTGTGTGTGTGTGTGTGTGTGTGTGTGTGTCTGTGTGTGTGTGCACGTACACACGCACTGCTGTGATTCTCATCCAGTCAAAACACTGAAAGCACACCGACCAAATTCCCTGCCGTCTTTCCCGGCAGGGCTGCACAGCGATGTGGGCCTGCTTGTCTCCAGTTGGGAATGGGTGTGCTGTGGTGCCACCAGTTTTATACAAATCAGCTTTTACTAGACCAACCTTTATTTTTTCCTTCTGTAATCTTAAATTACTTCAGTTTCTACAGAGTAAACATTCCATATCCTTCTTGCCCGTGAATAATGAATAATTGGGTGTAAATGTGTGTGTTTGGCATCATCGGACTGTGCTGCTTTGCGGTGGTTTGTTTTTTGTTTTTCTCCAAGTGGATGTGATGATGATAATGGTCATTCATGTCCGTGAATGTAGCGGCTCCTGGCTCCGCCCACGCGGCCCGGAGGACGGCCTGAGCAGCTTCCTCTGGGCCTGCTGGGTGCTTCAGAATGCCTGTCTGTCAGCTGATTGGCTGACCAGCACCAAGCCCCTCCCCCTTCCCTGTTATGAAGCTCTGCCTTTAAACCCCAGCCAACGGGGCCGGTGGAGTGGATGTTTGCCTTCGGATTGGGTCGGGCTCAGGCTGCTGGAGGTCTACAGCTGTATGTTGGTGTGTTTCCTGTTTTTCACAATCAATAAAACCATCAACTCACACGCGTATACTGTTTGGAAGCTGTGTGAGTACAGTGTGGACCGTCTATGGGCCTGGCTAAAGAGTTTATCACAATACACTGCCGACGTGCATAGTGCAGGAAAGCACTCGCTTTGCATTGAAATATGACCTCTGTTTGGGATCAACCAGAGCAGAAAGTAAACCCAAGTAACATGCGGCGATGCCAAAGGGCAAATATTCAATTTGATTATTCAAATAAATTTTAAGCATTACAAAATTGAACAAAAGGTATGTCATGAAAAGCGTTCTCACAGAACAAATACTAGTTTAGATGGTTGGGAACATCGTCACTGCTCAACCAGGTGTAAAAAGGGCTTGTGCTTGAGCCCCACGTGCACTGAGATAAAGAACAAGGACATTATTTGTCCCTGATGTTAGGCAGATCAATCGTAGTGAACTTTCTAATCAAGACGTGCTGCCTCCATGTGAAGCTGAAGGAAAAGACAAAGAGTGAGACAAAAGTACCTCACGAGTGTATTACAATAGGTAGTTGTCTTCCATCGCTGTAGTACCCTGCTGGTAAATACCATTGTACGGGAAGAATCTCAATATCAACTTTTTACAAATGGACCGAGGGATCATGTGATTATCCATCCATCCATTGTCAAACCGCTTATCCTGCACACAGGGTCGCGAGTCCACAGTCTACGGGCAATTTAAAGTCCCCAATTAACCTGATCCCCAGAGCATGTCTTTGGACTGTGGAGAACCCGGAGAGAACCCACACACGGGGAGAACATGCAGACTCCACACAGAAAGGCCACTGGGCGGAATCGAACCCAGGATCTTCTTGCTGTGAGGCGACAGTGCTAAGCACCACGCCACTGTGCCGCCCTCATGTGATTATAGAAATATTTATATTTCTCTACTGATATGTGCTACAAATTCAATTGCTTTCATAAGTCTGTGCAGATTGAGGTTGGAATCCGTAACTACACTTAGATTTCTGGCTTGGTTTGTGTTTTATAACATCAGCTGAATCGGTTAGTTGACAGACGAACTGGGATCAGGAGCTAAAAGGAAGGCAAATATTAGAAAGAGGGTTTGTATTGAGAGAGATCGTCGTCCTCATCAAGGTGTGCAGACAGGTAGCAAAGGACGCAGCGTGCCGTTCCTGCTCCGACCAGCAGGGAGCAGCGTGCCGTTCCTCCTCCGACCAGCAGGGAGCAGCGTGCCGTTCCTCCTCCGACCAGCAGGGAGCAGCGTGCCGTTCCTCCTCCGACCAGCAGGGAGCAGCGTGCCGTTCCTCCTCCGACCAGCAGGGAGCAGCGTGCCGTTCCTCCTCCGACCAGCAGGGAGCAGCGTACTACGGAGCCGATCGTAGAAGAAGAAAGGCGGAAGTGTGCCGTGTGTAAACAATCGAGTCACCGAGTCACGACACGGACGCTCCTCCAGCTGAAGGTTTGACCGGTCACGTTTTAAAGGTTTGAGGCACCGTTACGTGAGGAGGACGTGTGACGTAGCGTGTGACGAGCCGTCCGCCATGCCGTACCTGGGCAGCGAGGACACGGTGCGGGAGCTCAGGAGACATCTGTCCAACCCCAACGTCCAGTCCGACCCGCTGCGCTACCGGAGCTCCATCCTCAAAGTGATCAGGTCAGTCTGCTCCACCCGCGCCCCCACCCAGGTGCCATCGGTGATGGAGAGGCCTCCATCCATTCCTAGTTCCACCCAAACAAAGGACAGTCCCGCCGATCTCGACTCAACTCTTTTGACACACCAGAAGGCTCAGCTGGGATGTGTCTCTGAGGTCCCCAGAGACAATAGAATGTCCTGTTTCTTTCCCATAATGCCCTGCTGTCTACCTTTAACACCTTTTTAATCATGTCGAGTATCTAAATGTCAGCTTCCACATTCTAACCTGCTTTTAGGCTCAACGATGCAGCGTGGTAACGTGACTCCCCCATCCCCCCCCCCCTCTCCCTCCCCCAGGGCCATGTCCCAGGGTGTGGATGTAGCAGGCCTGTTCAGTGAGATGGTGAAAGCCTGTGCCACAGTGGACATAGTCCAGAAGAAGCTGGTCTACGTCTTCCTGTGCTCCTATGCCACTCTGAACCCAGAGTTGTCTCTGCTGGTCATCAACACGCTGAGGAAGGACTGCCAGGACCCAAACCCCATGGTGCGCAGCCTGGCCCTGAGGAACATGGTCAACCTCAGGTGAGGCGCGCCGCGCGCGACGTCCGCACAGGCCTTCACGCCGCCGCTGGGCCTGACCGTGCGTCTGCGTGTTCCCCAGGTTGCCCAGTCTGGCGGAGTACGTGGAGCAGCCTCTGAGCGCAGGACTGAGGGACCGAGCCGCTTGCGTGCGGCGGGTGGCCGTTCTCGGCTGGGCGAAACTGCACAATCTCCAGCCCGCTTCTGAGATCGGTAGGATGGGTGCAGTGACGCTCCGGTCCAAAAGTGTTTACTGGTACATAGTCTGGACCAGTTTATACGTTATTATCACGCTAACTTATTATCTTATTATTAGCGCAGGAATTAGTTAACGCTGACAACTACTATTTCATAGCGCAGTAACAGGTTATTATTACGATCCTTTGCTCGCTGGACATTTTTGTTTTGAATCTCTTCCTAGAACCAAAGTTATTTTTAACTTGTATCACTAAAAGTGTGTTTTTCTTTTTCTTAACCGAGATTCTTCTAAAGAAATCCAGTTTTGACATTTTATCTCATAATTTCAACTTTTTAAGTCAAAATTTGGACTTTCTAGCCCTTTTTTGTGGCGGAAATGGGCTTCCTTACTAATTGCATTGTGGTTAAATCAGGTAAAAGAAAAAATAATGTTTAGATTAAGAAGACAATTATATTTTGTTAACATTTTCTTTCCCATTTTAAAAACATGAGATCGACAATGTCAGTTGATAAATCGGTTATTTCCACCGCGCCTCTACAAAGAGTTCAGTGGTAGCTGAAGTGTCCATCACTCCGTTTCGTGCTCTTCGTTCCTCGCGGTTCCTCAGATGCAGCAGTGGTGAACGAGCTGTACGGCCTGCTGAGGGATCCAGACCCGGTGGTGATGGTGAACTGCCTGCGAGCGCTGGAGGAGATCCTGAAAGAGGAGGGGGGGATGGCGATCAATAAGCCCATCACCCACCACCTCCTTAACAGGTGGGACGGATGGAGAACCACGCCTCAGTCAAAGGGACTTTTTTTGCGTGGTGGAGATGTTCACATGGAGACGCTAAAGCCCCAAAGTGTTCTTTGTCTTCAATCACGTCTCAGCCGTCACATTGTACTCCGTTTATCTTCTGCTCTCTGAGCCTCTAATGGAAGGCTGAGCTCGTGCTGACGCGCTCGCTTACTGATTTAAAACCAATGGCCATCATCTTAATACTAGAAGTCCTCAAAGTTGCACTTTCTTATGTATTTGTTCTCATGTGCTCAAAGACACTTATTATTTGTCCTCCCAGGTTGGGGCAGTTGGATGTTTGGGGTCAGTGCGAGGTGTTGAGGGTCCTCCAGCGGTACCGTCCCCAGTCAGAGAGCGAGCTGTTTGACATCCTGTCCCTGCTGGACGCCTCCCTGGTCAGCCCCCACCCCCCGGTCATGGCGGCTACCCTCAGCCTCTTCCTGGTCCTTTGCCCCGACCTGCCGGCCGTGAGCTTTGCGGCCCTGGAGCGCGTACGTGGACCCCTGCTGGCGGCCTGCGGCAGCGCGTCCAGGGAGACCAGGTTCACTGCTCTGTGCCACATCCAGGTCCGTGCCAACCCGGACGCCACACGCGCCCGGCGGAAGGTTCTCTGTTCGGTCACATGATCTGTAGCCGCCTTCCGATCACGTGACCTGCCGTTGGGATGAGGGGGACATGGCGATATTCAGACGCACGGCAGCGCTCCAACCATAGAGGAAGAAATGTAGCGACGGCGCATGCTAAATAACTAAAGAAATAAAAGGAGGACAGGGGGGCAGGAGTCAGTCTGCTGCTCGCAGGCGCTTATCAAACATCACTTTATGAGCAAATACAGGATCCCGTTGTGTTCATTTCTAAAGCCGCATTAAGACACTTTATTTAAGGCGCTGTGATCTGTTAGAAAAAAACCCGTACGGCAAAGTCACGGTCATGAAGAGAAGGGTCTGGTTCTGATCCGAGCAGCGAGCGCTGCTGCCGCATCCCAGTTCGTGCACTCAATGCAATGCAGACTTTTGATAATCATAATAATTTTCTGACCATTTTATGTCACTGTGCATAATGACAATATGACAGCATAATGATACACGTTTTATTTTCAGAACGTTATCGTCTCTCTTCTCTCGCTCGGTTTAAAGCCCAAATGTTCCCACAGCCGAGCTGAAGATTGCGGCTTCGTAACAAAGTCCATTTGGACTCGTTCATCCTGATTGTCTGTAGAGGTCACGAAAAATAACCCTCCACAACCCGGTGGGTTCACGCGTTCCCTGTCGGTGTGGAGGCGCTGCTTAAGCCCCGCCTCCCACAAGGAGAGACAAGAGGACAGCGCCATGGACGAAAGCGATCATTTAGATCCACCAAAAGTGATCACACGGCGACACACACACCCGAGGGACACGGCGACACACACGCCTGAGGGACACGGCGACACACACACCCAAGGGACACGGCGACACACGCCCGAGGGACACGGCGACACACACACCTGAGGGACACGGCGACACACGGCACGGCCATCACACCGCGTCGCACGCAGTGAGCCGTGAACCACAGGACCATCTGATTGGCTTGAGGCGTGTGGTGCAGCGTGTCCTGAGGGCATCCGGTTGCACATCGAGCACCAGGTCATCAGATGAGTTCTTTCCATCGGCGTGTTCAGTGCTCCGGTGCAAAGTCCTCGTATTCGCTAGTTGCTTCCTCTGCCAGTGGGACTCTGGTCAGGTGGACGAGTCGACACATTCTGAGCCATGAAATGTCTGTTTGTCTCCAGCTGCTGTTGCGTTCTCTCCCCGGCCTGATGGGGGCGCACTACAAGCGCTTCTTCTGCGGTTACGCCGAGCCGGCCTACATCAAGCAAAGGAAGATGCAGGTGATTCAAGTTCATTTATTCCTCCCGCCGTCCATCGCTGTGTCGTGACTGAAGCCGGAGGTTCTTTACCAATGGGACCTCCGCTGGGTAGAAGAGTCCTTTCTTCTCAGGAAGGTTCCTGGCTGAGTGGTCCTCATGATGACGGCTGATTGAATTCTCTAATGCTCAGGAAAGGAGCTTCAATGCTTCCTTACCTGGGTCCTTAAGGACCCACTAGACCTTCCTTTATGAAGGGAAAGGAGATCATTCAAATCATTCAGATCATGTAAATTTCCCCGCTGCAGACTGACGTCACCAACGTGCGTCTCAGAGCTACGTCCCTTAGTGAAAGTGGAGACGGAGTCCCTAAACACCGCGGTGTCTTTTTGTCCTTGGCCCCGGGACGCTTCCCACAGAGGTCACGAGTAGACGTTAGGGGGCCTCTTCATGGCCACTTGAATCCATCCTAGAGCTGGAAGAGGGAAGCCAGATAGACTGGACCTCTGGTTGGTGCTAACGGCGTGGTGCTAACGGCGTGGTGCTAACGGCGTGGTGCTGCAGGTGCTGGTGGAGCTGGTCAATGACGACAACGTGGCCATGTTGCTGGATGAGCTGAGAGGATACTGCACTGATGTCAACGCCGACACGGCGCAGGCCGCCATCTCCGCTATAGGTGAGCGCGCGGCTACGTGGCAGCACGCCGTCTTTAACCATGTCTGTCTAATGCGCAACCAGATATTCAAATGTAGTCCATTTTTGAAAGCGAATATTCGAACGTCCTTTTTGAACGCTAATCACCTGTAAGGGCCGCCGGAGAAAAGTTCTCCACCGTCAGTTTGCTCTTGATACATCTGATCGAACCGGCGCGTTTGTGCACGAGGCCCGCGGTCTCCTACGCGCTCGTTTCCAGACCGATGGAGGTCTGAAGTCTGCTGTGTGTGTGTGTGTTTGTTGCAGGTCGCATCGGGCGGAGCTACAGCGACCAGTGTCTGCAGATCCTGACTGGACTGCTGGGGCTCCAACAGGAGCACATCACGTCTGGTGGAGTTCACACACACGCTGCACTGACCCGGTGACCTCGCACTCCGCTGCCACTGACCGCTGTCCCCCTCTGTCCTCAGCGGTGGTGCAGACCATGCGTGACCTGGTGTGGGTCTGTCCTCAGTGCAGCGACACCGTGTGTTCGGCGCTGGAGGGCTGCGAGGAGACGCTGCAGGACAGTCAGGTCAGACCAGACTGAGCTTTGGCTTTTATTTGTGCTCTTCTGACCGGTTTGAAGAGTTTGGCCTCAGTAAATAAAAGGGTCGTATGTTAAGTTCAATTCTAATTGGAAAGCACCCAGATGTTAGTCATCAATCTACATCAGCAAACAGGAATTACAGCCTCTGGGTTCGTCAGGCGGTGCCTTCCCCCCCGTAGACTTATGTTGGGGGCTCATGAGAGCGGGGGTCTTGATCGTGAGCGGCGGTGCCTGCGGCGGCGGAGGAACAGTCGCCGCCTGAATGTAGAACGTGGTCTGGAGCCCCGCAGGGTTCCGCTTTGACGGCGCTCTGTTCTTTGTGCTCTTCCTGGTCCAGGGCAGGCAGGCCTTGCTGTGGCTGCTGGCCGTGCACGGGGAGCGAGTCCGCAGCGCCCCCTACACGCTGGAGGGCTTCATCGATGGAGTGAGGGGCGAGGCCTCTCCGGGAGTCAAGATGGAGCTGCTGACGACCACCATGAGGCTGTTTGTGTGCCGGCCCGCCGAGACGCAGGACATGCTGGGACGCCTGCTGCACCACTGCATTGGTCTCATAGCTTCTTCTTTGTGACGGGGGGGGGGGGGGTGGATAACTCATTCGGTCTGGGTTGGGATAAGGCCGCTCATTGTCCCACTTTGTGTGTCCCAGAGGAGGAGACGGACATGTGCGTGCGGGACCAGGCACTTCTCTACTACCGCCTGCTGCGTTGTGGTATGGAGGAGACACGCAGGGTCCTCGGGGGTCGGAGGTCGGAGCCTTCTCTGGGCGTTTTGATTGGCCGCCCCGCGGAGCCCATCAGCCAGTGGGCCTCCAGCTTCAACACTCTGGAGCCTCTGAAGCAGGGCGCTGGGGAGACGGAGACAACCGGCAGAGCGAGCCCTCAACATGTGACCTTTGACCTTGACAGTGACCTCTCGGACACTCTGAACTCGGGTGAGTGAAGACGTCCAGAGCTTCTCTCCTGCAGCTCTTCACCACAGACTGCGTGAACAACTCTGTACGCGGCGCTAAACGCCGCTGGAGGAGGACCAGGACGCGTTTCCCAGTCTTCTATTGTCTCACTGTGGGGACAGGAGGGGCAGCCGGGTGGTCTCCTGCTGCTGCAGCCCCTCTCCTCCAAGGCTCCACTCGTTGTGCGTTCAGATGGTGTTCTGCATTGCTTGGTGGTAACCTCCACCCAGTCCGCCTGTTCTCCTCTGACCTCTGACCTCAAGGCCTTTTCAAAAGAAGTAAACAGCAGCAGTGTTTTTGAGGGCTGTTTGGATAAATTAGTCCTTATTTATTAGTTGTTCTTAGTTATATATAATATAACAAAACAACAATGTTATAATGCCGTCCACTGATACATCTTCATAGAGGAGAAAATAATATATATATATATATATTTTTTTTTTTCAACATGGTGCAGCCAGAGAATCTGTACTACGGTCAAAGCTGCACCACCGGCTTTAAGAAGGCGGAGACGTTGTATATTACAGGCAGAGGAAATCCAGCGTTTTCATTGGTTGAGATTGTCCCTGCGTACGTTCACCTGAGCGCTCCACGTCTCACGTCTCTGCGCTCAGAGCGACCCCGTTGCGCGGCGGTTAGTTGTCGTTTCAGGTTTCAGCTCGGTGGCTGGAAGGAGACAGACGAATGAAACTGACTCGCGTTCTTTAGCTCGATTCCCCTCCTGGCGACGCAGTTTCAGTTACTGTCACAATGTTGCCGCTCCCTTGCTCACCCTGTCCTCGCCTGTCTTCTCCAGGCGCAGGGGGGTTTTCCTTTTCCCCCGCTGGCGTCCAGGCGCCCCCCCTCACCTTGTCCCTCTCGCCGGCGCTCAGCCCGGAGGAGTTTGAGCGCCTGTGGACGCAGCGACGGGCGCCGCCTGCAGAGGAAGGTGATCAAACGGGGAAAGGGGACACTTTCACGTCAGTCTGTCCCTCTTCATGGGACAAGTTTGTCGATTGCATGCCGCACAGTGACGGTGTTTTCCGTGCTCGTCCTTCTTGCTGCGACCAGGTGCTGAGGAGCTGGACTACGTGTGCTTGGAAGAACGCATCCGATGCCCCGCCGTACCCCACTGCTCCCCACAAAGCCTGCAGGCCGCCATGCAGCTGGTCAACATCCAGACGCTGGCCTTCACGGCGGCCCACGCCTCCCCCTGGAGGGTCTACCTGTACACGCACGCCCAGCAGGCCGCCCGCAGCGCGCTCATACTGGGCCAGCTGCTGTACGCTGGAGAGGACGAGGACGAGGACGAGGCTGGGCTAAGCGAAGGACCGTCCCCACGCGGGCGAGAGGAGGAAGTAAAAGTGACTCTTAAACAGCGGCCGAGAGACGAGAAGGCTCTGCAGGGGTTCCTGTCCATCCTCACAGCCGTGCTGCACACGCTGCCCTTCAACACGCACTGAGACATGAATGAATCCATTAAACCAGACGCCGAGTCCGCTGGAAAGTCCTCTGCACGTTGGAACCCAAGTAATCAGAAGCTGCAGTAGTTCAGTGGTCTTCACAGGTGGATCGTCCTCATAAAGGGCTGAGCTCATGTGTTTGGCCTGAGGGAGGCGCTGTTCACCACTAGTGCTGAATCACTGCACTAAATCTAATCTCGCACTTTTGGGTTTAAGAGTGAAAATAATGTGTATTTACTGTGATTACTGGTTCCCATCGCGCAGCACAGAGGGGAGGGTGTGTTTTCCGTGTGCGTGTGTGTGTGTGTGTGTGTGTGTGTGTGTGTGTGTGTGTGTGTGTGTGTGTGTGTGTGTGTGTGCGTGTGTGTGTCAGCTTACTCTTGAAGGTCATGAAGTCATTCAAAAATAAAACAAATATTTGGACTCTAATGGGACTCTGAGTTGTACATTGTTGATGGTGATCGCTCAACAGAGACCACCTGGATACGTTAAGCCCCCGTGTGTGTGTGTGCGTGTGTGTGCGTGCGTGTGTGTGTGTGTGTGTGGGCTTGTCCTGGGAGAGTCAGGTGACTGGAGGAAGGAGGAGCAGGTGTTGCCTCGCTGATCCAGCACACATTGCCCCTCCGGTGCCGGTACCGGTCCTGTGTTCTCATTAACTTGTTGCCCGGTGTGGTCGCCACTGGGGTGAACACAGTGAACACAGGAGTTCTTCATGTAAGTATTCTACCTGATCTCTAATCTCTATAACGGTGATTTAAATGACGTTGAAGCGGAACCGGGTCTTTATTCCGGTGCACGCGGTGCTGTTGGACTGTTGCGCCGTGCGGGTTGTTGTGTTGTCACGAGGCAGCGTGTTGTTAACACACACACACACACACACGGACGCAGCCGTCCCGTCCATCACGTTCGGCCGGTAACGGGAAGCCGTGATTCTCTGGCCGGAGTCTGGAGGGAGCTCTCCCGCCTCTGACGCAGACGTGCGTCCGCTCCGGAGGCTCCGCGGCCCGACGCGGGTCCGCCGACCCCCGCGGGGAGCGGCGGCGGCAGGTTCCGTTCACCGCCGCGCTCCTGTGCACCGCGGGACAAGCGGACGCGCCGCCTTTGAAGTGTCGTTAGACCGGGTGTAACGTTTCGTATCGTCGATGGGTCCCTGTTAAGGAGAACATCGACAGCCATGTTTACTTTCGAGTATTACTGAACAGCTTCTGAGGAAGACGAAGTCCCGTAAAAATGACACTTGTAATTTCCCACTCAAAACCCAGTTTTGGAGAATTAAAGATCGTCATCTCAGTGGTTCCCAGTGGCCCCTTCAGTGCAGACCACGTGGTGCAGGGACCACTGCCAGGCCCCGTTTCCTCCCTGGGCGTACATTCCCCTCACCCACCTGGGCGAGGTGGGCCGAGCCGACGGCCAGTACGGCGACTTCTGGTCGCCGTACTGGCCGAGTTACGCGTGTTCCGTTTGGGAAGGTGTTGCTCCAGCGGGGGTCCGTTGTTGGCCGTCCCACTGAGCCTCAGCCCATGGACGGCGTGAGATCGTCTCTTGGGTTATTTGGAAAACAGCCGAAAGTGGGTGGTCAACTCCATCCGAGGCTAAATACTGACACGGGACTGATCAAAAAGTACCTTTAGGGAAAGTTAAAAATAACTTTGGAGCGAGAGTTCAACAGGGGGTGAAACCGTTGAGGGTCAACAGGCATTTCCACTGCGCTGCGACCAGGTCTCAACAGGACCTGTGCAAAGGTGGCTCGCGTCTCCGGCCACATCATAAAGGCTCGCTGTGCCCCCTCTCCCTGCCGGGGAGGGACGGGCTCCCGGCGCAACTGTTGACTGGGGCAGCCAGTCCTCGGTGCGCCCGTAAGTCAGCAAGACGGCCGACCCGTCTTAAAACACAGTCCAAGGGTTAGTCTACTGCCCGTGAGTCAGCGGGTGCAATAAAACCCTGTGGCGCAATGGAAGTGAAGGCCGGCACGCGCCGGCTGAGTTGAGACGCCGGCCCTTTGGGGTCACCGCCCCAGCTGTTTCCCTCAGGATGGCTGCCGTTCAGCGTCTGTCGCAGTTTTATCTGGTGAAGCCAATGATTAGAGGTCTTGGGGCCAAAACAATCACAAGCTGGGTAAGAACGTGAGCCGCCGACTGGACCACTTTCTGCGAGATGAATGGAACATCCTACGCCGACACTCATCAAACCCTGGAAAAGTTGTTGGCCAATACAGACCGCTGTAGAGTGGCCATGCAAGTCGGAATCTGCTGAGGAGTGAGTAACATCTGCCGAATGCGCTATCCCTGGAAATGGACGCGGCTGGAGCGCCAGTCCCATTGTGAACAACAGGTTAGGTTCAGATCCCCGGACCTAGCGTGGCGGAGACGGGCGCCAGAGCCTGTTCTACCAGGTGAACAGGCTCTGGCTTGTGAAATGCAGATAAAGTTACTTAAATCAGATCTTGAGCCATTCAACCTCAGGTGTGCGGGCGGCAGCCTGTTGTGGTTGCTCTATGGTCGCACACTTTTCTTTTGCTGTGTATTGGTTTCGTATATACGTTGTTTATTTTAGGCTGCGTTAAAAACATCTGGCTGGGGACAGCAGATGGACATGAGCCACTCTGGCTCACCTGCAGTACACCTGTTGATAAGTGTGCGTTGTTAACCCCCAACCCTACAAAGAGCGAAACCGCCATGGACTTGCTAGCGCTCAGGGCGGTCCCTCCTCAAAGAGGGTCCTGACAGAAAAGGTTTGGGATGCACAGTATTTGATAAAGGGAAGCACGATATCGGACTCAAAAGCTGGGTAGGGATTCTGGGAAAGGGCGTATCAATTAAATGCTACGATGTTCACCACACACAGCACCAGTCAAAAGACGGACACGGTTCCTGGTTTCTGTTCTGAAGCATTCATTAAAAACCAACTGAAGTATCTACTGTTGTGCTGACTGATGTGTGTGTGTGTGTGTGTGTGTGTGTGTGTGTGTGTGTGCGTGTGTGTGTGTGTGCGTGCGTGCAGATTTGGGTTTATATGACCGGAAGATGCTGCGTCATCAAAGAGGAAGGTTTTGGCAGTGGTTGTTCTCGTTGGAGTACTTTGCATTCTTAACTTCCTTATTGCTGTAAGTACACGCACACACACACATCCCCCCCCCCCCCCCCCCCCCCACACGCACACACACGCACACACACACACACACACACACATGCCCACACGCATGTGCACACAAACAGAAGGGATATGACTGCCTACATTTATGTCCGATGAGAGGTCACGCTAACATGGTGCACTGTAGCGTAGCCTCTTATCTGCACACTGGACAATACATTGAATCTTGAGCCTCACAGCACATTACAGGTCATTTAACTTACACATCACCACTAGGCAATAAGATCCTCGTCCGTACAATGTGATTCCTTTACTGTGACCACAATTGCTATTTTAGTTTGGACCAATTGACGTGAAAAATGTGGGGTTTTTTTTAACACAAATTAGTTTCTTTTTTAAACCAACTTGCTGGTGTACGATTTATTATTATAATACGTTTTGATATAAGTTAGGAAAGAACCTTTTAAGTAATGGCTGATGATGTAGAGCAAAAAGATGAGCCCACACATTGAGGCCTTCTTAATGAAACCCTGTTGCATCAGTACCTGGTATCGGCCCAGACCCGGAGCCCACGTGTCCCTTTTCTTTCACGCTTCAGTGTAAATAATCCTAATGGATCGATGAATGTTTTGCAGGGCCGGTTCGTTTCACACGAGCCGTCGGAGGAGTTAACTTGGCGAGCAGAGAGGCTGGTCAGTAAAGAGTCGTGGTTGGAGCGCGGAGATTTCCTGCCTCTCAATGTGTCCTACCAGGTGCTTGCTGGAGCGCCGCCTGCTCAACAGAGTGAGTTACACCCTTCGGCTGAAGTTTGAATTTATGTGCTGGTCAATAACTTTGCACGGGCTGACAATAAAATGCCAACGCAGGGTAAAGTCCTTTTCCATTTGCCCCTTTTGTTGTTGCACTCACCATGTCCGGATACACATTAGCATTTGAATATTTACACTAAATCACATGCAGCTATGTATTTTTCATTGAATACTCGGCCACCAGCAGCACACCGTATTAACCCTAGCGTCTCTGTAGCTCACTCACTCACTGGTATGGACCGACAGCGCGTTGACATTAAGAGGCGGGTTCGCACCGTGTGACCAATCACAAACATGGACATTACGGCCGGGCTGCAAATTGATATAGAGGAAGAGCAAACTGTAATATTAGACAAAAGTTTAACAACGGGAAGGGAAACCGTTTAAACTGACAACTGCTGGGAGGAAAACTCGTAAAGTTCAGCGTTGTACGTATGCAATAATGCCAACAGTGTAGCCGTATTCTTTTCAGCTGCAACCTGACAGACGTAATATAGGTGTGAATGCCTCTGAGGAAATCTACTCTTGGCTTTGTTCTCGCCCGAAGTCGGCTGGGATGGACTCCGGCGACCCCGTGTGCAGGACAAGCGCTTTGACGGTGGATGGACGGACTCTTTGCTTTGTGAGAGTAGGCTTGAAGGACAGTTTATTTAAGATAAATTAGAGAGTAGAAACAGTGGCAAGCAGATTATTAATGGTCTGATTACCCACTAACCATTTATACCAGGCTTCCAATGCAGTGCTCAGTAACAGATTCATGTTGAATGATATTAAACCCCCCACACACTGTTCTGATGTTTCAGGGTATCTTTCCATTGGATTGTCCTCCGTGAAGAGGAAGAAGGAGGGCTATCTAATCCCCACTTTGAAGTCCCTCTTCTTCCAGTCATCTCCTGAGGAGCGCTCCTCCATGGTGGTGGTAGTGCTGCTGGCAGATTTTGATGTTACCTGGAGAGTCACTACAACACGGGAGATTAAAGCAGGATTTGCTGTGGAGCTGGAACAGAGCCAGCTGGTGGTCCTCCATGTTCCTCAGGATCAATACCCTTCTGTTACAGGTGTAGTAGTGCTCCTGAAGGAGCTCTTGCTTATTGGTTTGGTTGACCTGTGATGGTGAAATTGACCATTTAGACACAATTTCAATTTAACGCCATTTATTTGTATAACGCAACTTCAGACATTTGCCTCCGATGGCCTTACAATCTGCAGAGCTTTTTGCATTGGAAGTAAAACAAACAGTGGTGCAACATACAGCGGAGATCTGTGCAGAGGAATTACTCCATGTGTCAAACAGAAGGGGGGTGAGTGCTGCTATGCTATGTTGAGCTAGCTGCTGGGCTACTTCCAACATCTAACGCTACCCTGCGCGGCACACTTACAAATAGTTAATATTTGTGTTGTTGAAATATGAATATACCCAGTAATATTGGTAAATTAAGATATCTGCACGTCCTCTCCGTCCGACTGCATGTCTATATGAGTGACATGATTTCAGCGTTCTAAAATAGATTCAGCCTGGGACCAGCGTAGGACCGGCCCCGGGCTGCACTCTCGTCACGGATAGTCTTGCGAGGTGTGAAAAGGAAGCAGCACATGCTGGATGCAGTAGTGGACGCCGTATTTTGCCTTCCATGCCCGCGTTTTAAATCAACGGGGACCGAATCCAGCATGCAGGTATGGGAGTAAGGGACATGGAGCAAGAAATAAAACGGTAGAACACCGGACACATGCGGATAACTCCGCCAAGCTCGCCGTGTTAGGTTAACCTTGCATTTATAAATATTAACTAATATACTGAATTGTATGAATTAGATCTCCTTATGTTAAACTGTTGGAATAAATGTTATATACTTAACTGCAAACTCAAATGCAGGTTCAATACCTTTTTGTTTGCGTTGGATCATACTGGGATGGTTGGTGGAACTGATCGGCTGGCCCTACCAAAAAAAGATCCACCATCTGCCACTGCTTGGTGCATAGAGTAGTACAACACTAAGAGATACTACATTGACACAGTGTACATTACGGCTCAGAACTCCAAATACTTACAGCACTGCCAGGTTTCCAAAAATAAATCTTTTCTTGAGACTATATGGAAGCTTCAAGAGGGTTGCAGCTGTTCATTTCCACTTACCCCTTTTCAACAGTAGTAGTACAGTAGTGGAGTTGGACTTCCATGTTATAGATATACATGTCTTGGCCACACACAAGCAGTTTTTGCTCATTTCATTTGGGACTTTGTTTGTTTGTCATGCCAAGAAGGATATTTTTTGAGGAAGAATTGATGTGATTGAGACCACAAATCTATGTTTACTGAGGGAATAAATCAAGAGAGAAGCAGTTCTATAGAAGCGCAGGAGTCGCCTCGTTGTGGAGATTAGAGCCAATGCAGGTTTAAGTTTGCTGCCTGGATACTGATAGAAGTCTCTGGTTCTCCCGCAGGTCTAAAGAGGAACTACAATGATGCTCCGGAAAGGGTATCCTTCCGCTCCAAGCAGAACCTGGATTACTCCTTCCTCATCCACTACACTGCAGGTCTTGGCAGATACTATCTCCAGCTGGAAGACGACGTCTCCTCTGCAAAATATTTCCTCTCGACCATCAGGAGGCACGTTGAGGAGCAAGAGGCGAAGAAGACCACCTGGGCAATGCTGGAATTTTCCGTCCTCGGCTACATTGGAAAATTGTACAAATCTGCTCATCTTCCTCTCCTGGCTCGCTTTCTCTTCCTCTTCTACCAGGAGATGCCCTGCGACTGGTTAATGTCTCGCTTCCGAGAGTTACTCACACAGAAGGAGCCAATCGTTTTTAAACCATCACTGTTCCAACACATAGGGACTTACTCCTCTTTCCAAGGGACATACAACAAGCTAAAAGACATGGACTTTGAGGAGGGGATTTACACCAACCCTTCAGCTGAGGTTTATTCGGATATGTCCACCTACAAGAACCACCACCCCAAACTCGCCTGGGAGCCTGGTGAGGGGTTTTTCTGGGGACGCTCGCCAGATAACGGATCTTACCTGACCGCAGTGTTCAAAGCCCCCACTGTGGTAACGGGGATATTTGTAGAAACAGGATCAGAGGGCAAAGACGTCCTGGAGTCAGCTCAGGTGGAGATCGGCCGTGACGTGAGGAGCACAGAGAAAGGGGAGAAGAGTTGTGAAAGGTTCTTGTCAGTGGGCACGTTAGAGAATGGGAGGTTTGAGAAGCATGAGATGGACAAAAAGGATAGTTTTAGCTCATCTTGTCTGAGGATAAAGGTCTCAGCTGGGCAGAAGGAATGGGTGATCATCAAGAAAATCAGGATCTCAACAAAGCCAAGTTCAATTCCACACCAGACATAAAAATCTTTTTGTTTCCTCCTGGTCAGATGAGTACTTTTTTACTTGACATGCTAGATGTTAAATGCAATCCAGACTTTTGTGCCTTGTTAAACAATTCGCCTAATGAATGAATTTGATATGTTGATGCTTTGTGATAACTTGAAACTCATCATGAGGAGATTTGCCGGGATAACGGTTCATATCAACCAAAAGCAAGGAGCTCCAGGAGGTAGATGTTTGACTGAGCACATTGAAAAAGGTGTGCATACCTCCTGTGAGGGAAACCCTCTGATGCTGAGTGTGATCATGTTAGCTTTCCTCATGTCTGAGCATTGTGAACCCTGTTGGAGGAATCCTGGAAGGATTGCCTCTACCGTGGCCTTGTTGCCCACCTGGATATTGGCAGAAGATTGAGACGGGGCTGATGAAACCATTTTGCCTTCTGAGCAATGACATGCCACATGCCAACCAAAAGAAGCAACTGCCGCTGTGCCTGAAGAGCGTGACGATACTGCTCCTCTGTGTCCGTGGGATGACGCCATTGCCACGATGTTACCACACGGCCAGGCGGTGCCGTTCTTTTTTCCTCTTTCCTTGGGGGGTGGGTTTGTTCCTGGGATGCTAAATGAGGCCCAGGTAACCGCTATAAATAGCCTCAGCTGTGTGTGTCGGTCGTGGCATTGTTGAAACTTGCGGTTGCGGCTTTAAGACGAGATTAAGTCTTAAGTTTGTTCTATTCTGCTACTGAACCCTTTCAGCGCCGGGGGCCCAAGAGTCTGGCTGTAGAAATTGTGTATTTACTTTCCAATCTTCAGGTTTAGCACTTTAGCACCGTTTTTCTGCTTACGTGACTCGTATAGTGACCTCACACAGCGTTGTGCTGCTTCTGATGTGTGGTGGTGGTAGATGGAGCTAAGGTGCTCTCAGATGCTGGTAGACAGGTGTGGGCCCGACCTTCTCCCTTTGCATCGGTAGAGCACCAATCCACCGGCTGTCTTCTCCAATTACTGAGAGGTAATAAGAATTCTGGGACTCACAGTCGGGGTAGTGATGCTCCTCATTGAACTGTCCACCATTGTGCTTCTTAGAGACTAACTGGGATCCTGTGATCCTAAACACTGTGTTTTCATTTTACTGCAGGGTGTTATCAAAGAGCCACAAGCTTGAAGGACTTGTCTGGGAATAGTTTATTGTGTTGGCATTTTCATGTTGGTTGGTGTTGTTGCTAATTTGGTTGCGATAGATGGGCAGATGTTTGTTTTGGTTGTTTTATGTTGATTTCAGATGGCCGGATGGATTGGTTTGGTTACTGATTTGGTCCCACTAACTTCCCTCTAGTGCCAACCTCAGTGGATTGATCTGTGGTTGATGTTTGTTTCCCCTGTTTTTGTGGTTCTTTGGGAATAAACACCAACTGATGTTCTTCCATGTTCTTCCAAAGTGTCAGTGAAAAGCGAAGGTGGTCGGGTCAAACACAGACAGGTTCCACATCACCCTCTCAGGGCCCGGACTAGTGAATGGGAAAGAAGGATTTGGGTTGTGGGGTGACCCTAACCATACAGCGCTGGATGGGAAGAGGGAGGTGGTGTTTGACCCGAGGGCAGTGGGCGCTGCCGCGGTGTCGGTTAGTCACAACGAATCAGGTCTGTGCTTGTGGGCTTCTATGTCTGCTATGAGACAGATCCCACGGTGCATCTGTTTCACCACTTGATCAGCCTCTTGCATATTGTATCACGGTCAGGTTGTCGGTTTTAGCTGCTGGTGTCATGCTAGCTTTGCTGCTTGTGTTTAGTTTCCTCAGGGTCTTTGCTGTTAGGATTGACAGCCAATGCATAAATAAAATGTACCAGTCAAAAGTTTAGAACATTCATTGAAATCAATGAGACGGTGAAATGTCCTATCACACAACCTACGGGCCACTTGGAGCATGTCTCCTCGTGAAGGTGTGCAGCAGGAGCTGGGCCTGTGCTGTGTTGTTATTTGGTGGCACAGGTTCCCCTCCCTCCGGAGCCCCGGTGACCACCAGAGGACAGCCAACTAATCTACAATTTAACTACACACACAATGGGGTCATCTGTCCAGGCCATGATGCTTGAATGCAGTACACATTTATGTCATTAAGAGTTGTTGTTGTCATGTAGTGATCGTCTGTAAATGTGGTACTAAGGTGCAGAGATTACTCTTTGCTCCAGAAGAGTTTGTTCTGTCTGATAAATAAATAAATGAAAACTCAAATGTCAATGGGACAATTGTCCCTACACATACGCCTCATTCAAAATGGACAAAGACCAAACTCAGCAGGCGTGTGTGTCATCCAGCAGCTCTCGGTGTTTAGTTATGATTTAAAGACTGGAAGCATGAAAGCTCTACAGGCTGTTTGGCCCCCGAGGGACAACGGATTAGATTGTAACCATAAAAGTAGAATCCACACTTACGAGGAAGGACCAGATGGGCGGATACAGGCAGTGTGCAAAGGGTAGAAACACGTCTCTAAGAGAATATTTCACAAAAAGCGTTTCGTGCTTTTTACCATCACCTATTTATCAACGTATTTATAGCCTTTGGTTTTCATCCACTACGAAAGACGTTCAGTGGCCTTGATGCTGGTCTCGGTGTGTCTGGTTGGAGGGTGAAGCTGCTTCTCGGCCAGCTGTTCAGTGACGGGGAAGTAAAAGGGAATTGAGATGTAAATACAGGGAGTGTAAGACTACAAGAATAGAAATACGAGAGCATTAAAGACCACGAAACTATCTGCAACCTGCATAGCGTGCTCGCCAACATCCTGCAGGCTGCCAGTGTTTTTGCAGACAGAGTGCTGTGGCTCAAAGGCCGAGGACTTCAACCTGCGGAGGCCCTCTGCAGAGCGGCCTGGGACGATACGAGCAGGTAGATCCCAGGTCCCCTTAAAGTCAGGCCATGCATTTCCCCTCTTCAGACACACACAGGGGTGGAGTCAAACATAGCTTCACAATAAAAGCCTTTTCCTTTAAGAGGGGAGAAGCAGGTCTAATATGTTCTGACCTTCTTCACGCCTGGGAGCAGATGTCCTCTATCATCAGCAATGAAGGTGGTGGGGCCCTCCTGGGCACAGGGTCTCTACACACACACACACACACACACGGTTTCAGATGCTGCTCTACAAACCACAAAGCAAAACAGGAAATGAAAGAACTTCATAGTGTGGTGCAGTGTTCATTTTGGCAGCTATTTTTTATTTAGTCTTAGTCTATAGACGAAAATGCATATTAGTTTTAGTCACATTTAGTCATTTTAATCCTTCTTAGTTTTAGTCGACGAAAACTCAGAACATTTTAGTCTAGTTATAAATTAAATGTGACTAAAACTAGTCTACAACTGCATAATAGTATAGCTTGCAGTACTTGGTTGTCCATCAGATGTCCCTCCTAGGACAGGTCTATAGATGTCCCTCCTATAGGACAGGTCTATAGATGTCCCTCCTATAGGACAGGCCTATAGATGTCCCTCCTATAGGACAGGTCTATAGATGTCCCTCCTATAGGACAGGTCTATAGATGTCCCTCCTATAGGACAGGCCTATAGATGTCCCTCCTATAGGACAGGTCTATAGATGTCCCTCCTATTGGACAGGCCTGTAGATGTCCCTCCTATAGGACAGGCCTGTAGACCTGTAGATGTCCCTCCTATAGGACAGGCCTATAGCAGGTCGGCAAACGTTTTGACTCGCGGCCACAGTGGGTTGTAAAATGTGACGGAGGCCAAGAACAAGTGGATGAAGTGTGAGTATGAGTTGCTATAAATGACATGTGAAACCTCATTACATGAAAGGATTTGGATTTTAACAAATAGCAAAGCATTTATTTGCAAGGTAATTTAATAAATTGGCAAAGGTTTAACAACTTGATGAGGACCAGGGACCTAAACAGTCTTTTCTTTCTCTTTGTTTATGTGTTGGTTTCATGACCAGTTCTGCGGGTTTTCCTCCACCTGCTCTGCGCCGCCACATCCTCCACCTGCTCTGCTCAGTTCTATCAAAAGGATCCACCTGTCACGTGTGTGGCGCCTCTACGTTGCTTAGTAACGAGCGTACGGTGGCCGAGACGGTTTAACGTCTTCTCACGATGTGGCGCGTGAACTATAGTTGAAACGCGTGAGGCTTCAGAACCTGCAATGAGTTTATTAAGTTAGAATAGATTTAGTCATAGTTTTTATTTTTTAAGATCGGTTTCGTCACGTCTTAGTCGTGGAAAAAAAGGTTCGTTAACGAACATTTTTCGCCCTAGTTTTCGTGGACGTGGTTTTACCTCTGAAGCGCTTCGGCTCGCACCAGCTCTGCAGCCTCTGCGGCTTGAAGGCGCTGCCATACCGGCAAAGGGAACTCATTCACCAGAATTTGTTTCTCATTTGTATAATTCAAAAGACACAAAAGTTACCTGGTTTGCTGAGGACATGGCAGCGTCCATTGATCCGTGTCCGTGTTTGTTGACTCGTTGCATAGCAACGTCATACTGGCCCCTCCCTCCTGCCCGGTGGTAGAAACACAGTTGAGATGACAGCGAAGGAGAAACAAACCCATGTGCAAATACAAGAGACCTTTTCGTCTGCGGAGCCAAATGCAGGCCAGAGGGTTTGATCATTTGAAAAATACAACATTGAACATTAAACATTTAAATAAATGAAAATGAATTTGGGCCGAATATAATATTGATTCAGTTCTTGATTTGTTTTGAATGAAATATATATTTTCATTCTTTACTTATACATTGTTTTTATTAGTTAGATCTCATATTTGTCAGTTGCAGATTTTATACTTTCCAATTCAAATCTTATTTTTTCAAGTTTCAGACCTTTGGCCCAGATCACCTTAACAAAGAAGACTGAAAACCTTCCTCAACCGTCTTCAGGAATCGTAGGCACTGGGAATTTTGAATCAACGCTTTTAATTCACCATGTCCACTTATTTAGTGGTATCAACTGCTTACATATTTATATTATTCAAACGTTTCCCAAGACCAGCGTCCCCAGCTGTGTTGGTGTGATCAATCGATCATTGCAGGGGAAGCTCTTTGTGCTCAGAGTTGTATGACTGGGACACGAATGCAGACAGGCCCTTCATAGATTAGATTAGACATCAGGACTCCTGATCTTAACCACATTTTGACGTGATGCAGAAAGGCCTTCCCGCACACACATTGGTACTAACAGGCAAACACACAAACATCTGGTACAAGTGGTCTGCCTAACGTTGGAAAAGTTGTTTTATCCGTTCCAAATGTCCACAACTGAAGCCCGTAAAGAGGCGCGATAAATGTTCAAGTATGAGGATAACCGCAAACACTTTCAGAAATGTGTGAAGAACAAAAAACACATCCTGAGCCAAGAGTTGACAACATGCATACGACCCGGTCGGGCCTCTGAGGTGGTCAGACGGAGGTCTAGTCTGTCCCCAGAACCAGATCCAGGTCTGGTGGGTTCCTTCAGACATCCCGCTGTCTGCAACAAGCTGTCGGATGACTTCAGGTCTTTTATATGTCCAAATTCAAAAAGCAAGCTCAGACGTATCTGTTGTCCTGTGACCGTCACATGGATATTATGGATACATGGAAGTGAGAAACTTCAGAGGTTCAGGTTTGGTTGTTGAAAGCTACGATAATCTGCCTTAGATTATTGCTCTTCCTCGGCCATTCTTATCTAGTAGGGTCACAAACAGCTCGCTAAGGAGAACCTTCTCACTGGGTACATTGCCTGGCTGCCCATCACGTGCATATGGTGGATAGAAAGTGTTGATTCACAAGTCTCACAGTTCCTACGTTACCTGAAGGCATTTTCTTTGTTCAAATGTTCAGAACTTTTGGCCTGGATTTGACTCCATATGTAAAGACCATCACAGTGGACTCTGGATGAATGTGATTTCTGACTATGCTGATGATAGAGGAAATGAATCAAATGTACAAATAAAGAGGATTCCAATATTGTATTTCAAATTGGAGATGTCTCTCTGTCACCAGATATTTTGAGACAGTGCCATGCTGGTGTGTTTAACATGCTAAAGCAAGACAGGTAACATGATAAATAACAGGTAACATGAGGTAAATGTTTCCTGATTCCTGATAGCAAAAGGAGAAACAAATGAAACTCTTTATTGCTCTCATCTTGTGAGATTAGGAAAACAAATATACATACATACATATACATATATATATATATAAAGTATATGTGTGTGTATGTACGTATAAATTCCAAAGTCAAAACGCATCTGTCTCAGTAACCATTTAATTAAATGTGGTTTTAATACACGTATACTGCCACCTACTGGTAGAGATGTGAACACGTTCATTCTGCGTCTCATTAAACAGCCCACAATACGTGGACAAATTAAATATCGGTGCCGCAGCAACGAGTCCGCAACCACAAACCACTTCGATTAAACTTGATTTTTAACCAAATCGCATCAAACAGAGCGATGCGTATTGCTGTGTGCATGGATTGTATCACACACCATTTCTATCATACAAACTCTCTATTGCGTTGACTTTTACTGTGAAAATGGACGGATTTCCGGTTTAGCTGCTGCACTGTAGATGAAAAACAAAAAAGAATTTACGAAAATACAAATCTGCCGTTTTCTCGTTTTGTGATATTGAAACGGGAAACGGTGAAACGGGAATGGCGGACGCAGCGGGGTCCGCGTAGCCGCACACAAAGTAGCCGTTATGTCCATAGCTGTATATTATGTGTATGCTTATGTCCATAGACGTGGTAATAACCGCGAATGAACCGTACTATTGAAACTCTGACCGGAAGTATACCTGTTTATCTTCCGGGTAAGTCACGTGAGCGGGCTGAGCCGTGTGGTGACGAGCTAGCAACGCGTTACGCGGACGCTGGTCAAAATGTCTGGCTAACTTTGTGTTTTCTAAATAAGGAACAAACACAAAGCCCGTCGCAGGGGAGCTGTGGCTGCTTGTCCAGCGGGTCGCAGTGAAGCTTCCGCTCCACACCTTCTGCTTACCAAGCTAACGCTAACGCTAATGCTAACACTAGCTGCCCGCTGAGCGACAGTTAGCCGTTTCTGCGCGTCGCTGTTCGACGTGCTGCGGATGCTCCACGAGCCATGGAGGGTCCGTCCGCCGCCCGGGGCTGGCTGAGAGACTCCGGCGGGGATGCAGAGTCAGACCGGGACATAAAAACACACTTTCGCGTGTGTCGCTTCATCATGGAGACCGGTGGGTGACGACGATTCGTCCCCTCTGTCCTCCGTCACACACAAGAACTACGGACGAGGCCGTAGCGAGCTTTTGTTGACGTTTGACAGAAAACTTACTATTTGCTCATTTTAATGTAGTAATTTCAAATGTGGATTAATGAGTATTTCTAATAAATGTGTTTATTGTTGATGTGACTATAGAGAGGATTTGTCAATTGAATATAACTGCTTACTACGCTGTTGATGTTTGCCTCTGTGTGGAAGAAAGAGTGTGATTCTAATTCAGGTTAGAAATGGACCCTCAGAGCCATAATCGCACTGGGCCGCTGCTCCGATCTGGAGATTGAGGAGTGAGTTCCCTCTCAACCAGCCGCTGCTGCCTGTCCTCCCTGCAGGGGTGAAGCTGGGGATGCGCTCGGTGCCCGTGGCCACGGCCTGCGTCTTGTACCACCGCTTCTTTCAGCGCGTCAGCGTGCACGCCTACGAGCCCTACCTGGTGGCCATGAGCTGCGTGTACCTGGCTGGCAAGGTGGAGGAACAGCACACCAGGACCCGTGACATCATCAACGTGAGCCACAGGTAAGATGCCCCGTGACCCACACGGCTGGGAGCTAAAAACACGCTGCAACTTAGTTCTGTTTACCAAAAAAAACGTCACCCACTGCAGATTCCTTTTGTTCCTTTAATATATGGAATGCTACTTAAGCGCTAAAGCTTCTGTCTTCCCATTGCAGTATTCATTGTCATTATATAGAACTGACTAATGGCAGCGATTGGTCTGTGGAATGCTGAGTTCTAATCATCAGCATGTTTGATCCCGGCATCTTAAAGTTCAGTCCACTTACTTACGGGTTGTGGAGATCACCTTCTGCTGATGTCACTTTAAGTGGAATATTTATTGGGTTTTGGGATGTTTGATGGACACGTTGAGGCATATAAGCAAGTCTCATTGAACTTAAGTAACTTTGATACAATGTGATTAATTGGTCAGTGTGACTAATTACTTAAATGATGCTGTTTCCGTAGTACATTAGACAATGTTTGTATGTGCAGCTGATCAGGCGTGTCCTCCCATTCCTGCCTCGCAGATATTTCAACAGTGGCAGTGCTCCTCTAGAGTGTGACAAGGAGTTCTGGGACTTGAGGGACAGCGTGGTGCAGTGTGAGCTCCTCATCCTCCGCCAGCTCAACTTCCAAGTCTCCTTTGAACACCCTCACAAGGTGTGTGTGTCTCACCTGATATTCTGAAAAACATTTCTAGTTCCTTAATTTTTCGCATTTTTGCATTCAGTGTTCCAGTCATTGGGAGTCACCCTGGTGCATCGTGACCGTGGCAGAAAGCTGCCCTGTGATTGGCTAATGATGCGCTCATGTGTCTTTCACCAGTATTTACTCCACTACTTGTTGTCCGTGAAGTCACTCGTGAACCGCCACGGTTGGTCTCGTACCCCGGTAGCCGAGACGTCCTGGGCGCTGCTCAGAGACTGTTACCACGGCGCCATGTGCATCCGCCACATACCGCAGCACATCGCTATAGCAACGCTGCACCTGGCTCTAAACAGCTACGGAGTGGAGCTGCCTGTCGGAGAGAAGGAGTGGTGGAAGGTGTGTCTTCCCTGTTAGTGTGTGTGTGTGTGTGTGTGTGTGTGTGTGTGTGTGTGTGTGTGTCACAATGCTTTAGCTGGGAGATGTGTTCTAAGAAAACGTCAAGACAATAAATACACCTATCAACCGTAAACCTGAATCAGGAATCAGGAAACATTATCGCCATATTATGTCACATACGAGGAATGTGACTTGGCGGTTGGTGCGTGACAGCAGACAGTAAGACGATGGACGACAAGACAACAGTGCACGAGGAATAAGATCCAATATAACGCTATGGGTTAGTAGTATAAGTAGTAGTTAGTTAGCCGTGTAAATGCAAGGTTGTCTCTCACGCAGCAGGACAGGCTGGATGGCCTCCGTGGCTCTAACAGTTCCAACAAGCAGCAGCTGTGGTGGGAAACAAATGAGACGACATTCTACCGCCGTTCGTTGGTCAATGAGACCAATAACGTGTGTTTTAATGCGACTAACCTATTGTTGATATTTACAGTATAATCCTCCCAATTGTAGCATTACAACCAGGTTGTATAATGGATTTGTTCGTGTAAAACAACATTTTTATTTAAATGTCTCGTGTGAGTCACAAAGTTGAACTAATAATATTGATTACCAGTGACCTGCCATAGGGAGCAAAGAGCAAAGGAAGCTCCACAGGAGGCTTTATTCAAGTAGTTGTTTTCAAAGCTGATGGAGCCGGTTAAAATAACTACATTAATCCACTAAGTTCTCTAAGTGCATAGAGGCCCTCCAGCCATTACGCAGGCAGCATGTATTATTCAGAGTATCCAAACAGAAGATGCTGCTGACATTGTATCACATCCCAATAATGTGGAAAGTGTCTTGTCTCCAATGCAGTTACCACCAGGGCACCACTTACATTGGCAGACGCAGGCTGCTGCATCCAGTCAATGAGTGATGTACGCTAGCGCTAGCGCTAGCCTTGCAACCCTACAGCTTTAACCAAAGGGGCACCATCCGCTCCATCAGCTCCACCTTCAAAGCTCAAGTGCTTCTTGTAACTGTAGATGTAGTTACAGGCCGGTGTCCAATGAGGCTGCTTTTGTGAGAGCTTTGATTTTCTAATTCACTAAATGCAGTTAGAAAAAGCTTTGTGTCCTTAAAGGCAGCACAACGTGGGCCGTCGGCAGCGGTGGAACTGAAGCTTGTGTTTCTGTTCTGCAGGTGCTGTGTGTGGGCGTGACCAAAGCCCACATCGACGCCGTGGTGTCCGACCTCCTTCAACTCTACGACATGGAGGCCAAGTGTCTCTGACGCGGCCTCTGCGTGTAGTTCAGGTGCCTGTGCGTTGTGTGGGAGACGGGACCGCTCTGGATGCTGCAGTTAGTGTGTGACGCCCAGCGGCCTCCTGCCTCCTGCTCTGGGATCAACCCGCCCTGCAGCGCACAGATGTGCTCTGGAGTTTATCAGCAGCAGATATCAAGTCTGTGAAAAGTTAAGGGAGCGATGACCTCGTGACCCCGCGGGCCGGCAGGTGGTCACCATCAGATGAGCAGAGCGCCACGGTCAGCGTCAAACCTCTGAGCCCCGTTACGGAGCCTGAATGTCTGTGTTCTACAGCTAGCGTTGGATGTGATGAACCGTTGTTTAAATGATTCCTCCTCGTATCAAACACGTGTGCATTTCAGTGATGTGCGTAAAGCAGAGCTGTGTTAATGAAACGCACATCGCTGCTTTACCTGTTCAACGTGACGTGAGACGAGCAGTGAAACGATGAGCAGCAGATACTCATCACAGCAGGGTGCACGATGATGTAATGCTTTAACCCGCCCATCGTGTCGTCATGGTGATTGTAGTGGAATATCCACTGTATGATGAGCTCTTGTCTCCCAGAGACGTGTTCTGAAACAAGTGGAAATGTTGAGTTGAGTTTGAAGCAGGAGAAAATAGATGTGTATTTTACTAAAGACTTCATTTGGCCGCCGTATCGTCAAAGTCTACCGCTGGAAACGTAGAATGTAAGATATGTATTTCCTTCTTGTCAATAAATGCCATGAAACAGCTGAGAGCAACACCGCATTGACACAAGCGCAGTCTATCAATCCAGTTCTGATGCATCTTATTCCTCAAAGAATGTTCTTTCATCCCTCAATAGTTTATCCGATTTCAATTCATCTTCTACCGCCCAGAACCACAAACTAGCCTCTACACATGAAATATGATTTAAGAAATGACTACTAGTGCTTTTAATAACAGCAGCAGTGGACATATTAGACCACGATTAAGAAATGACAAGAGCAGTAATGGTGTCGTACTAATGTAATTAATACTAATGTCAGTAGCAGTAGACTTATATATATATATATATATTATATATACTGTGTGTATATATGTGTTCATTTGAATGAGGAAGTGTCGTCTCTGCTAAAGTTTGAAATAAGCTGTTTTGTTAAGTAAACTAACAAAAATGAAAATGGATCCCAGAGTTGAAATTATTACTTTAACTTTTTTCACTTAGTAGCCTGAAAAAAGATGACAATTGGAAGCTAAATATACTTCATATTAAATATTTTTCTCAATTAAAATAACCATTTTGGATACAAAACAGTGAGTAAACTTGAGATTTGTTAGTTCAGGTGAAGCATCGGTTGCTCTGACTCGACCCGTCAGCCTGATTACAGGATGAGGTGTTTAAGGGAACGTAAAGAACACAACGATGTGACTCCACCCGGTGGATCCGTGGTGAGGTGTTTATTATTGAACAGACCTCCTCGTCTGGGTTCACGGGCACATGATGCACACGGACACGCAGCCTGCTCCTCTTCAAGAGACGTTAGAACGTCTCACCTCTCTAACTCCAGTTGTTCTCCACGCTGTCGTTGCCTGATCCTCTCTCCGTCATTCTCTGTCTCCTCCGCCCTCCGCCTCGCCGTCTCCACCACCCATCTTCTGCCTCGCTCCTTCTCGTCCGTCCTCATCTTCCCCCTCCTCTGTCTGCCTGATGTAACGTTGATAATGGAGGAATCAACCATCCGATGGGCTGGAGTCCTGAGGAGAAGGAGAGGTGGAGCCGGGAGGAGGCCTTGCTGCGACCGCCGCACACGTCACGGGGTCATGCACGTCTCCGTGTGCATGTTCGATTATGTCACCGTGACACTTTGGGGTGTTGATGGTGTATCAGTACAGTGCAGTGGTTTGGATGAAACGATGGATCAGCAGAAAGGTGAAGCCATCGGTCCAAACTGCATGAGGAGCTTTGAAGACGCGCCGCTGCTCCTTGGAAAGCTTGGTTTGTAATCTCAAGAAGAAGCTTAAAAGGGCACAAACTGAAAATCATTTCACTCAACATTTAGATTTGCTTAATTAACGACACGTCATGACGGCTGCTGCCGCTGCGCCGCGACTCCTCCGTCCGTCCGTCTGCCTGCCGTCAAGCCGACATGTAGCTCGTGTTGCTCCTCCTGACAGTCGTCTTGAGAAGAGACGTTGCAATCAGCCAAGTTATTTTAAGGTGAGCATGTGAAGCGAGACACACGCTGTATCCGTTGACACTACAAAGGCACAACTCCTATTCTTAGAGGACTCCGCTTCCCTCCGGATGGCGTTTAAAAGGACAAAGCTACATTTACTGTGTGTATTTGTGGATATTAGCACGAAGCCACAAAGTGAGATGTTCCTTTATGTCCCTCTGGAACAGTTAGAGATGTCAAACCAGCTACAAAGCCCTTCATCCAGGCACGCGTCTCCCTGCAGTGTGGAGCATCTATTAATACGTTCATCTATTAATACCTTCATCCTCACTGGCTCGCTGCATAACAAGCTAGTAGCCAGTTGGTAAGACACGTGCTTGTGTCCGCAGGCTTTTCCTCTCATCGTTTGCATGTTTTTGACTGTCGCTGCGTGCTGGTTGGTGTATTCCCACAGAGGTGGTTTGGTTGGTTTTATCTGCCTTGTTTTATCCAGTGAGGGTCTAATGGTGCGTCTCATTGGGTCAACGGGCGCCGCTCTGCACCTCCACAGAGCTGCACAGAGGCCTTAACCAAAGAATCTGTAAGGAATCCACCTGCCATCTGGCCTCTAAATACTGCTGTGGTCAGCACATTGTCCTCGTGGCGTAATTATCCACGCGAGGCTTGTGCCAATCTGCCTTTTTAGTTTACTGGCGTTTACGGTGTTGAAAAATCTACTACTTTTAGATTCAGTCATTTTAGACATTGTTTTTATACTGAGTTTGACTGTTTTTAACCGTAGTTTGTGATTCAAAGTGAAATAAATTGTATTTTAAATTCATTTGAGTTGTTAACCAGTGTGGCGCACACGCACCACCTGACTGAGGAACCCCGCTTTGGTTCCACACGCGTGTGGACGGCTTGGCGTGTGAACATACATGGCTTTGGGGTGGGAGAGAAGAGGAGGAAAGGTCTGCTGCTTCCAAACACCGCAATGGGTCTCTTCCCCCCCACCCATGACCCCCCAGGGGGGATCCCATCCTCCAGGGCTCTCTGTGCGGCCTCCACGCCGCCCCCCAATGTAGAAAATGAGCACTTCTTTGGAACTTATCAACCAAATCTTGTGTCCACGTTAGTTGTATTTGTGGGATGGAAGATCTTTCATTAAACGGATACATTTTGAATCGCAAATGTGGTCTGAATCAAGGAACAGGAACAATTACTGAGCAAAGTAAGTCTACAAGCTTATGTACAGTTCTGTGTGTATTTACGCTTCTACTTCATCACATTTCAGACTGAAATTACTGGACATTTTCATGAATTCAGTTCCTACATATATGTGATCATCAATGAATCAACAATGCCGATGATTATGGCAGCGTGTCACGGCGTGTGGTGTGAGGGAGGCCGTGGTTTTACTAACTAAAAACAAAGGTGTCAATTCATAATAAGATAATTCATTCAACCGTAGGACAAAGATATGTGATTATAAAAAAAAAAAAAAGTTTATAAAAAACACACCGTTACCGGGTCAACGGAAAATCGTCTGTACTTATTAGTGAAAAGTCACTTTAACGCAGCGGTCTTCAACAGGGGGTCCGCGATGCCCAGAGGGTCCGCTGAGGTACTGCAGGGGGGTCGTGACAATTTTTTTTTTTTCCATCAATTCTTTCCCCACAAATTTAAATGTCATCAGAATTGTATTTATTATGTTTAAATACACATGAACATGACTCCAACATATTGTAGCAAACGGTTAAATTGATGGAGGAGACGTTGTCTTTTACTCCCACAGCAGCTCTGAAGCTGATACGACATCACAGCACCAGCCCATCAGATCCGTTCATGCTCACGTCTAAAGAGCGTGGAGCTCAAAAATAAAAGATGAAAAATTTAACGCCTTAACTTTCACACTTTAGAGGCTGACCAACGTTGTACTTAGGCTGTGACAAACATTGAGAATAAATGCACAGAGAAACTGAACTTGCTTTGCTCCTTTTGTTTCATGATGTGATTATAAACTAACTTTACAGTTGTGCTTTATGAAGCAGGAGGAATCAGCATCAAGCTGAAGAAGAACGATGTGTGGTGACAGTCAGCTACTGTAGCTTACAGTTAGTTACAGTTAAAATAGCTCGTATCTATAAAATAAAAAAATAAAATGTCCAATTGCATACAATAGTCACTGTACTGATGGTATTTCCCTTGCCTTGAGATTGTGTTAGTTTCCAATGTCAATGAGCCATTGTCAGTTTCTTCAGAGATAATTCACCTCTTGAATATTTAGTTTTTTTTAACAATTAGTCGAAATCCAAATGAACAAAGATCCAATATTTCACAAAAATTCAAAACAATTTTAAATGATTTCCGCAACAATGATCTAACATTGTACAGAATCCTGTACGCCTTTGGTGGGAGATGCTGCTCGCATTCGGCAGCTGACCATAGTGTCTCTGTGGATGCGTAGCATCTCACCAGTCGAGTCCCCCTGCAGAAAACAGGTGACACTGTCGGCTCTATTAGCGAGTGACATTGAGATCAAAAGGTTTCAGGTACTATGTACCAATGACAGGAGTGGTATCAACCTGTCCCAGAGTGGCATGTACCAATCTTATAGCTGCATGTACCCATCTCACAGCGGCATGTACCGATCTCAGAGTGGCATGTACCGATCTCAGAGTGGCATGTAGCGATCTCAGAGTGGCATGTACCGATCTCAAAGTGGCATGTACCGATCTCACAGCGGCATGTGCCGATCTCAGAGGGGCATGTACCGATCTCAGAGTGGCATGTACCGATCTCACAGCGGCATGTGCCGATCTCAGAGGGGCATGTACCGATCTCAGAGTGGCATGTACCGATCTCAAAGTGGCATGTACCGATCTCACAGCGGCATGTGCCGATCTCAGAGGGGCATGTACCGATCTCAGAGTGGCATGTACCGATCTCAAAGTGGCATGTACCGATCTCACAGCGGCATGTGCCGATCTCAGAGGGGCATGTACCGATCTCAGAGTGGCATGTACCGATCTCAAAGTGGCATGTACCGATCTCACAGCGGCATGTACCGATCTCACAGCGGCATGTGCTGATCTCAGAGGGGCATGCGTGGAGTTCTGCACTCCGGATCAACAAAGTGAAATATTGTATGGATTGTACAATGTTTTGTGAAGTAAAGTTTCCTCGTTCAGCATCAAATCACCATCAACATTGGTTCACAAGGGGCTTCTCCCTGCCTCTTCTCCAGCCCAGCTCTTCCGTCTCGCGGGCGTGTCCCTTGTGCTGCTGTTGTATGTGATGGCTGCACATTGAAGCCAAGCTCCTCCCTCTTGAATTCTTTTCTTCTTGAAGGCATTTGATAACTGCTGTTATCTGATGTCCGAATCTTTTAATCCCTCACTGACCTGACAAATCTCTATTCACTTAATATTACAATCATGTAAACATAACAAAGCACGCATAACATTCATGTCATACCAGCCACCCCCCCCCCCCCCCCCCAAAATCAAACGTCTTCCGGGAGAATTTGGTCACTAATTTACCCCAAAAAAATAGTGGAAATAGCGCTTTTTCCTCAAACCAACTTTCTAATAATTGGGTCCCACCGATTTCACTCTAATGGCTTTATTT